CCGCTCTTCTTTAGACATAATCAAAGCAACCTCCCTAACCATATCATGCATTTTGAATGCCTTAGGCCGCCCGTGGATGTTACGTGATACGACTTGAAGCAAATTTCGATAAACAAGCTCCATGAGGTAACCATCTGCCACTTCCTCTAGTTCTACTCCTCTGCGCGAATCAACAAAACCTTGTGCCATCCACATTCTTATCAGACTCTTACCTTCGATTTTGTCATCTTCGGGGAAAATGCTGCTGAACAAGAAGCAATGTTTAAGTGGGTATGGCAAATCACTGAAACTAACATGTAAGATACGGTGAATATCCTTCAACTCGGGATTGTTACTCAGTTCCCAATTCAACCTATTTTCAACTTTCCTCCACTCTGATTCTGATCTTCTTGTTGACATCATGCTACCTAGAGTTACAATAGCTAACGGTAGGCCTCTGGACTTATGAACCAAATTTCTTGCTATAAGTTCTATATTTGGTGATATGCTTTGTTCACGATTTCTTGGAAAAGCTTTGTTGCAGAAAAGCTCCCAAGCCTTATCCGCACTAAGGGGTTGAACAGGATGGACACGACTTTCTAACCCATATGAAAAATTTGCCACTCTTTCGTCACGAGTAATAATCATCAAACGACTTCCGTGAATACCGTCGGGAAGAGCTACACAAATCAGCTTCCAAAACTCTATGCTCCACACATCGTCAAACACAAGGAAATATCTCTTATCCTGCAGATAGTTAACAAGTATTTCCACCAAGTCTCTGTACTCCATGGAGGAAAAGTCCGTTCCCCTTTGCAAACCCGTTTCCTTTGTGAATTCCTTGATCATGGTGCTTAAGACATTGTTTATACTGTAGGATTGAGATATCGTCACCCAAGCATACGAATCAAAGTGCTTTCGAACATGGCGAGATCTGAATATATTACCAGCAAGAGAGGTCTTTCCCGAGCCGCTCATCCCAACCACCGTCACAACAATCCTCTGAGAATCCGGATCTAGAAGCCACCCTGTCAGTTCCTCCTTGGCCTCGTCTACGCCCACAAGACTGTCATCCTTAAGGAAGAAGGACGACTCCTGCAGATTCTTGACCCAGTTCTTATCACCGCCATCTGCAGCAGGAGGAGGTACCGTTCCTTGAGAGGTTTCGGGACGGAACGTGCTCATCGATTCAGACAGACCCTGAATGTCTTGCTTCACTGCTTGGAGCTGGCAGGCTATGGAGCGCCTCTTTTGCAGGTACATGGGGTAGTGAGCGGCGCGTTTAAGCCATGACTGGCCGCGGCGGCGGTTCACGTGGTAGGAGAACTCGTCGATAATGCTTTCGATTTTGTAGGCTAAGACCCTGGTTTCCTTCACAAAGGTTGCGAAGACTTTGTCGCCGTGGCTGCTCGTGTTCCCGTGCTGCTCGAGGAACGACTTCATGAACCTCAGCTTCTGCTTCATCGCATCGATCTCGTCGCTGAATCCTGTTTGCTGCAACACTTCGTTTTCAAGAACACTAAGGATTCTTCCGACCCCGAAATCGATCAGACCAGACGCCATCCTCTCCGATTCTTGCAAACGAATCCCTCCAATGCGAGGAGTATACGTTTCTGAACTCTATTGTTGAGTCAAATGATTGTTACTGAACTTTTGCCTATTGCTTCCGTGATGAAGATTCCGGGTCACGGGTCTTCTATTATTCTAAAATAAAATATAAAAAATACGTTATTTATCTCCCTTATGGAAAAGTTGGGTCATTGAGCACAAAGTATTTATATAAAATGCGTGTTTTTTTGACTTGTGATCCAAATCGTGGACCAGCTCTCCAACTTGCGCAGAGTTCCTTTGAATTATTATTTTATTTTCTTAATTATATTATACATAAACCAAATATATAGTTCATCTCTTACACCAACAATACTTGTAAAATATTACAGAAAAAAAAAGATAATCGATGTGGTTTGACAAAGAAGAGACATGCTATAATCCTTTGGTATATAGTATCAGAAGAAATTCGGCCATTGGCTACAATATAGTACTAGAAGAAATTCATTTCTTTAAAGAACCTTGGATGGTTTTCCTCGTAAATAAAAATAAAAGCAAGCTGAGATCAAGCAAATCATAATTTTTCAAAGACCTTGTGAGAAAAAAGCTTTTCGAAAAAGGTAGGGTCCACAAAACCAACTTGACCTATGAAAATTGGCAAATAATGGAGCTGGATGAAGGAGAGAGGAACTCAGAGGTAGAAGATGACAAGGGGAAAGAGACAAAAGATGGAAGCGAGAGGAGGGCCACAAATTTAAACAATAATAAAGTTGGTCGATTAATTGTGTTACCACTTGGACAGCGAAATGTCATAAACATTGAACCAGAGCAAAGAATTGAACAAGGTTTGTCTTTTACAGATATTCTAAATCTTTTTAAGAATTTAAATTATAAAATAAAAACTAAATCTTTAAAGAATTTAAATAATATCTCTTAAAAATTTGTCCACCCCTATAACACGGTATCTCTTATGAACTTGAAAACTGACCATTGTTTTACAAGAAACAAATTGAACTAAGGCGTAAAATTTCGATGGGAAAATATATTTGAAGCAAAATTTAAAAAAAAAACGACTACAAATGTTGTCAAAAGTTAGAGTGCAAGGGATTGGTTACCTTGTTGAGAATCAGACCACAGCATCAGAGTGGCCAAAAGGGCAATGGTTGCAGTCTCGACTCGCAACCGATGTGGCCCGAGTCCAACAGCTACACCGCCTGCTTCCAGCATCATGTCGAGCTCTTTTGTCGTGAAGTCTGAAACGTTAAAAGAATGTGCCAACTTTTTCAAATCCCGGGATGGTTATTCAGGCGTTAGAAGCGTAAACGTGACGATTATCCCATGGGTTATTATTGTGCAGAATAGAAGTACATAGACGAGACGAGCGTAAAACGTGAATGGATTTCCCCCGAGAAAAGCATGCTCATCATCATACCATCTTCTGTGTGTCTTTCCTCTATAACTATTGCCCATGATCTATACAAAGTAGATAAATGCATTAGAGATGTATAACAGAAACAGCCCCTTACCGCCCTCTGGTCCAACGATAAGAAGACCACTGGACTCTTCTGAAGACGAGTTTATTGCATTGAGAAGAGGTGTAGCTTCTGCCGTAGCAACCAAAGATAGCTTTGCCTGGGAAATCTGAAACACCCAAAAGTGGGAAAGGAAAAAAAACAGCAAAACCGAAATTCGTAACTCCATGTTTCGAAACCAGAATGTCTCAGCTTGATCAAACATATAGATAGATGTCGAAACATACATGATCCAAAAGAGCGTTGAATTTGATTGGAGTATTCAGCACCATTTGATGCAGCCTTTGACCTATGACAGAAATTAAAACGCGGGATAGCTTGTGAGCATGCTCCGAATAGCCATTTTGCCATGAAAAAAGGTCAAGATCTGGCGATCATTTACTTCTTTGGACTATAGTTACTTACATTGTTTAGCTGCAGCAAAACTAACACGCTCCAGTCTGTCAACACGGTTTTCAGAGATCAAAGAAGATCTTTCTGTTAAAAGTGGAGTTACACTGCTAGCCCCAAGTTCCTAGGATTGTGCAAAATGAAGATGTCAGTGGCATTATAGTTCCAAGCAACACGATGGTATGTATAGAAGCTGATACATACCGTGCATTTCTCTATGAGCCAGTCAGCTCGACCACCTTTTAAAGTGGCTGACAAGACAAAATTAGACACGTTATGGCATGAAAAGGAATGTAAAGAAGGCAATTATTGTGGCAATCCCGTTAGTTACCAAAAGCTGCGAACACATGCCACTGCATGCCCTGACGAGGAATCACCCTTTGACCTTCCAGAGCAATAAAATCAATTCCAGTTTTGTCAATGCTTTGTATGCAACCCTCTACTAAACCCCCTTTTCCATTGAAGAGTTCTACCCTTGCATAAAAAATAACTGACAGTCAGTTACTGGTTTCTCATACAACCATAACAAAAGTGAGAGAGAGTTGGCCTAATCTAGTCCAAGTATTAGTTTGGATACTGGTAATGGTATGACCAAAAGGCTTAAACTTTATAGATCATATGACAAAAAAGACAGGTACCAAGATCCTCACAGTGAAATGCAATGATTCAAAAGTTTACTAAACTAAAAAATGAAGCTAACTTCAGGCTTTCTTTGATGAAACAAAAGTTTCATTAGGAACCACACTAAATTAAGCCAAGGAACGCAGACTCAACCTCAAAATAGGTTTCACAAATACAAAAGTGTGAGATGCCTAAGATTAGAGTTTACCTGTCATCCAGTTTCAGTCTTAAAACTTTACACATATGCCAAAACTCGCTGCCCCGAACACGAACAAATCCACCCTATAAACAGAGTCATATACACACAGAAGAAAGATGTAAAATTACATTAGCTATTTGAATCACCACAAATTTCACTCAACAAAATCATAGAAAGAACACAACAATATATATGTCGGTACTAAAACCATCTCTAGTAGTAGTACCAAATTCCCAGACACCGCCAGCATCAATTTGGCTTCTCTTTCTTTCAAATGCTTCTACTAGTGATTGGTTTCATTACGTAAAACGAATAAACGCACCCGTTCAAGTACGCCGTAGAATGTTGCGAATTCTTAGAAAACTCTCCTTCTCATATCCAGCATATGCGTATCAATTTTTTTTCCCTGCATATCCGTGTCAATTTCTATTCATATTCCTACAGAATGAGCAAGACTCAGACGAGAAAATCCACCCTATTACCCTTTTACAGAGAACCACAAATCCTGTAGAACCCAGGAGAAACAACCTCACAAATTCACACAAGACAAGAACAATGAACTATCGCACAAATTGACACAGAACAGCACGAAGAGAGAGATAGTGCCTTGCGAGAAGGAAGATCTTCGGAGAAGAAGCGAGGGAGGCCGCCGCGAGCCTGGTTCAGGACGTCGGAAGGAGATGAAGAAAACGAAGTAGAAGAGAAGATTCTGAGGTTCGAAGCTCGACGCCATGGGAGGGGACTGAGGAAGTCGGAGCAAAGCGTCCGTACAGGCGGCGCTAGGGCTCTCATTTTACCGGAGGGATGAAGATTGCTTTCGGGACTGAGAGAAAAAAAAAAAAAAGAAAAGAGAAAAAAAAAAGGAAGAAAGTAATATCAAAGAGAGCCCTGTACTACCTTCTTAATGCAAAATTACCCGAAAACTTTTCAGATGCGATGAAATAAGCCCACATAATTATATTTGCGTCAGATTCGATATGAAAAATGAATTTGATATAAAAAATTTAAACCTCAGTAAATGTACACTTTTACCCTTTGAAGCCTCTGATGATCGTAGAGTCTCTGACTCTACCACGGTCAAATGAATTGATCTTATGCTTTCTATCATATCTTACCCTAAGCATCATTCACTGTCCCTCTTAGTATTCCTTCAGTGAAAAGATGCCTGTGAACGGGCAATGCCCATGGTCTTCTTATGGGTGCTCACAATGAGCTTAGCAGGAACAGACGTGGGGCTCGTACTAGTACGACTCGGAGTGCCGTAAGCACCCGAGTCGAAGAGCTCGAGATGCTTCGTCAAAGGAACAGACTATCAACTGTACGCAACACTTGCCAAAAAGCATTTGATGTAAGAATCTTTCGGAACGTTTTTCTTATGGATGATCTCCCATGTCTTCCAACAAGTTGTATGTGACAAAGTGTGTGTCACAAATTCTAAAGATAACATTTGAAACTGATGGTCAAGAATATATGGAAAGCATAGATTGTTTCTAAAAGCCATAGAAACTCATATTGCAAATTACAGATATGGTTTGGAAATAGAATGACATACCACAAATATGAACAGTGTTCCACGAATATGAAATTTTAAAACAAAAAAACTGATGGAAAAATAAGCGGAGAAAAAGACAAATACAATCCGAGGACATGAAGAGAACTTCTTTCTTTTCCTTCATTATAGCTTCTCTGTGGAAATTAAACCATCTTCCGCCATGGAAACATACTTTATGATTGGAATGTGATTAACTTTTAAGCGGTCTATGCCATTCTCTCCGCGGATTCTCCCTAACAGCTCATCTGAAGCTTCAAATAGAGAGAGTTTTTCAAGTTTGGTAAGATTTTCAATGCCATCGGGCACTCTCTTTACCCCTTTGCAATACCCGATCTTCAGCTTCTGCAGATGCGGCATTGCGCCTTTCGCTATAACAATATCTTTCAAACGCCGCATCGTACTTACCTCTAACACTTTCAGACATGGAAATCCTTCTTGAAAGCATAACCTATCCCCCTCATATGCATTGTTGTAAATGGAAAGCTTAACCAAATTAGGGATTCCTCCGATGCAAGAGATTGCATCTTCTCCCAAACTAGATGCACCCAATCTCAGCCGAGTAAGTTTGTGAAGAGTCTTGAACCAGTTGGGCAATCTCTCAAGCTTACCGGCGAGCTGAAGCTTCTCGATTTTTGTAGTATGTGATAACGCATCTATCGGTAAAATTTCTCCATCCATTGAAAATAGAGATAATGACCTAAGATCCGATAGTTTATTGAGAGAATCAGACAAGTCGTTTTCATGATTTTTCCTCACCTCCCATAGGCCAATCTTTGTGAGCTTCGTCATTTTACCAAGGTTCTTGATAAACTGCGTTTCTACATGGATGCCATCTAAGACCTGCAATCTCTTCAATTGCCAAATGTCGGAGGAATCCTTCATGCGTGTGTCACATTCAACAATTAGATATCGCAAGTTTCGCAGTTTTGAAATTCCAACCGGAAACTCGTCAATTCCGGAAAACTTGGTCACCAATGTCTCCAAATTAATGAGTCTGTGGAAGGATTTTGGAAGTTTTACAACCCCTAACGTTCCCCACAAACTTAGGTACTTTAGGTTGTATAGCGTTACCAATGAATCCGGCAGCTTCTCCATGTCAGAATTCCGAAGGTCTAATACTCTCAAAAGCTTAAAACCTTCCGGTAATCCAATATTCTGCCTAATAGTGGGACGCACCAAAAGAGTGTGGATGCTCCATCGTGTCATCATATTTGAACTCATCTCCCTTTGAATGCATAAATGACGAGTTTCATTATGTTGGCCTTCTTCGATCTCGTCATTATATATATCGCCAAACCTCTCTTCTTTAGACACAATCAAAGCAACCTCCCTAACCATATCATGCATTTTGAATGCCTTAGGCCGCCCGTGGATGTTACGTGATACGACTTGAAGCAAATTTCGATAAACAAGCTCCATGAGGTAACCATCCGCCACTTCCTCTAGTTCTACTCCTCTGTGCGAATCAACAAAACCTTGTCCCATCCACATTCTTATCAGACTTTTACCTTCGATTTTGTCATCTTCGGGGAAAATACTGCTGAACAAGAAGCAATGTTTAAGTGGGTATGGCAAATCACTGAAACTAAGAAGTAAGAAACGGTGAATATCCTTCAACTCGGGATTGTTACTTAGCTCCCAATTCAGCCTATTTTCAACTTTCCTCCATTCTGTTTCTGATCTTCTTGTTGACATCATACTACCTAGAGTCACAATAGCTAACGGTAGGCCTTTGCACTTATGAACCAGATTTCTGGCCATAGGTTCTATATTTGGTGATACGCTTTGTTCATGATTTCTTGGGAAAGCATTCTTGTAGAAAAGCTCCCAAGCTTTGTCCACACTAAGGGATTGAACATGATGGACTCGGCTCTCAGACCCATATGAAAAATTTGCCACTCTCTCATCACGAGTAGTAATCATCAAACGACTTCCGCGAATATCGTCGGGAAGAGCGACACAAATCAGCTTCCAAAACTCTATGCTCCACACATCGTCAAACACAAGGAAATATCTCTTATCCCGCAGATAGTCAACAAGGATTTCCACCAAGTCTCTGTACTCCATGGAGGAAAAGTCCGTTCCCCTTTGCAAACCCGTTTCCTTTGTGAATTCCTTTGTTTCCTTTGTGAATTCCTTGATCATGGTGCTCAAGACATTGTTTATACTGTAGGATTGAGATATCGTCACCCAAGCATACGAATCAAAGTGCTTTCGAACATGACGAGATCTGAATATATTACCAGCAAGAGAGGTCTTTCCCGAGCCGCCCATCCCAACCACCGTCACAACAATCCTCTGAGAATCCGGATCTAGAAGCCACCCTGCCAGTTCCTCCTTGGCCTCGTCTACGCCCACAAGACTGTCATCCTTAAGGAAGAAGGACGACTCCTGCAGATTCTTGACCCAGTTCTTATCACCGCCATCTGCAGCAGGAGGAAGTAATGTTCCTTGAGAGGTTTCGGGACGGAACGTGCTCCTCGATTCAGACAGACCCTGAATCTTTTGCTTCACTGCTTGGAGTTGGCTGGCTATGGAGCGCCTCTTTTGCAGGTACATGGGGTAGTGAGCGGCGCGTTTAAGCCATGACTGGCCGCGGCGGCGGTTCACGTGGTAGGAGAACTCGTCGATAATGTTTTCGATTTCGTAGACTAAGACCCTGGTTTCCTTCACAAAGGTTGTGAAGACTTTGTCGTCGCGGCGGCTCGTGTTCCCGTGCTGCTCGAGGAACGACTTCATGAACCTCAGCTTCTGCTTCATCGCATCGATCTCGTCGCTGAATCCCGTTTGCTGCAACACTTCGTTTTCAAGAACACTTAGGATTCTTCCGACCCCGAAATCGATCAGACCAGACGCCATCCTCTCCGATTCTTGCAAACGAATCCCTCCAATGCGAGGAGTATATGTTTTTGAACTCTATCGTTGAGTCAAATGATTGTTACTGATGTTTTGCCTTTTGCTCCATGATGAAGATTCCGCGTCACGGGTCTTCAGAAGACCGGCCCGAAGCCCGGTTTGATTTGTTTTTTACATTTATTTTTTATAAAGGAAATAAAAAATTTTTTTATTAAAAAATAAATCGAACTTTAAGATGGCCCCTCGGCATAAAAATTCAAATCCTTATGAATTCGGACTAAACTTCGAGTTTTGAGCCAAAATTATCTTCTAATATTCTAAAATAAATTATAAAAATACGTTAGTCATCTCCTTCATGGAAAAAGTTCGGTCAAATAGCAAAACTATATATATATATATATATATATAAGTATATATCAATTTGTGTTTTTTTGACTTGTGACCCAGATCACGTACCAGCTCTCCAACTTGCTCTCCAACTTGCGCTAAGTTATTTTGAATTATTATTTTTATTTCCTTAATTATTTTATGCATACTTTAAATCGCACACCTCACCCACAAATTGTTATACATTGATAAAAGTAGATCGATATTTCATTTGTTGACATAACTAGACCAATTGATGTAATTTGACAAAGAAGAGATATGTTATAATTCTCATATATGATACTAGATAGAGTAGCCAATTCGGGTTTCGGTTCGGATTCAGTTATATTCGGATTCAGTTATTTCGGTTATACAGATCAAACGTTTGTATCCCATCTTAGAAGTCACAATTTATTATCGATTATAACCATTCGGTTTTTATATAAACTTCAGTTTAGTTCGATTCGATTATTTTTCGGTTCGGATTCGGTTTGATTTCGGTAAAAAATTTATTTTTTCAAAGAAATTATCGATTATTTTCACGGGTTTATTCAATTATTTTTTATTCGATTCAGTTCTGTTTCGATTTTTTCGGATTTAAGGAAATCATAACCATTCGATTATGATGTTGGATTCGGTTCGGACACGATTATGTCTTATTCGGTTCGGTTCGACTCGATTATTCGGTTGATAACCGGAATTACCACCCCTAACTAGAGCTTCATTTCTTCTAAAAAAAGCCCCTTAAATTTATGTTTGGAAAATAACACCTTGGATGGTTTTCCTCGTAAATAAAAATAAAAGCAAGCTGAGATCAAGCAAATCATAATTTTTCAAAGACCTTGTGAGAAAAAAGCTCGAAAATGGTAGGGTCCACAAAACCAACTTGACCTATGAAAATTGGCAAATAATGGAGCTGGATGAAGGAGAGAGGAACTCAGAGGTAGAAGATGACAAGGGGAAAGAGACAAAAGATGGAAGCGAGAGGAGGGCCACAAATTTAAACAATAATAAAGTTGGTCGATTAATTGTGTTACCACTTGGACAGCGAAATGTCATAAACATTGAACCAGAGCAAAGAATTGAACAAGGTTTGTCTTTTACAGATATTCTAAATCTTTTTAAGAATTTAAATTATAAAATAAAAACTAAATCTTTAAAGAATTTAAATAATATCTCTTAAAAATTTGTCCACCCCTATAACACGGTATCTCTTATGAACTTGAAAACTGACCATTGTTTTACAAGAAACAAATTGAACTAAGGCGTAAAATTTCGATGGGAAAATATATTTGAAGCAAAATTTAAAAAAAAAACGACTACAAATGTTGTCAAAAGTTAGAGTGCAAGGGATTGGTTACCTTGTTGAGAATCAGACCACAGCATCAGAGTGGCCAAAAGGGCAATGGTTGCAGTCTCGACTCGCAACCGATGTGGCCCGAGTCCAACAGCTACACCGCCTGCTTCCAGCATCATGTCGAGCTCTTTTGTCGTGAAGTCTGAAACGTTAAAAGAATGTGCCAACTTTTTCAAATCCCGGGATGGTTATTCAGGCGTTAGAAGCGTAAACGTGACGATTATCCCATGGGTTATTATTGTGCAGAATAGAAGTACATAGACGAGACGAGCGTAAAACGTGAATGGATTTCCCCCGAGAAAAGCATGCTCATCATCATACCATCTTCTGTGTGTCTTTCCTCTATAACTATTGCCCATGATCTATACAAAGTAGATAAATGCATTAGAGATGTATAACAGAAACAGCCCCTTACCGCCCTCTGGTCCAACGATAAGAAGACCACTGGACTCTTCTGAAGACGAGTTTATTGCATTGAGAAGAGGTGTAGCTTCTGCCGTAGCAACCAAAGATAGCTTTGCCTGGGAAATCTGAAACACCCAAAAGTGGGAAAGGAAAAAAAACAGCAAAACCGAAATTCGTAACTCCATGTTTCGAAACCAGAATGTCTCAGCTTGATCAAACATATAGATAGATGTCGAAACATACATGATCCAAAAGAGCGTTGAATTTGATTGGAGTATTCAGCACCATTTGATGCAGCCTTTGACCTATGACAGAAATTAAAACGCGGGATAGCTTGTGAGCATGCTCCGAATAGCCATTTTGCCATGAAAAAAGGTCAAGATCTGGCGATCATTTACTTCTTTGGACTATAGTTACTTACATTGTTTAGCTGCAGCAAAACTAACACGCTCCAGTCTGTCAACACGGTTTTCAGAGATCAAAGAAGATCTTTCTGTTAAAAGTGGAGTTACACTGCTAGCCCCAAGTTCCTAGGATTGTGCAAAATGAAGATGTCAGTGGCATTATAGTTCCAAGCAACACGATGGTATGTATAGAAGCTGATACATACCGTGCATTTCTCTATGAGCCAGTCAGCTCGACCACCTTTTAAAGTGGCTGACAAGACAAAATTAGACACGTTATGGCATGAAAAGGAATGTAAAGAAGGCAATTATTGTGGCAATCCCGTTAGTTACCAAAAGCTGCGAACACATGCCACTGCATGCCCTGACGAGGAATCACCCTTTGACCTTCCAGAGCAATAAAATCAATTCCAGTTTTGTCAATGCTTTGTATGCAACCCTCTACTAAACCCCCTTTTCCATTGAAGAGTTCTACCCTTGCATAAAAAATAACTGACAGTCAGTTACTGGTTTCTCATACAACCATAACAAAAGTGAGAGAGAGTTGGCCTAATCTAGTCCAAGTATTAGTTTGGATACTGGTAATGGTATGACCAAAAGGCTTAAACTTTATAGATCATATGACAAAAAAGACAGGTACCAAGATCCTCACAGTGAAATGCAATGATTCAAAAGTTTACTAAACTAAAAAATGAAGCTAACTTCAGGCTTTCTTTGATGAAACAAAAGTTTCATTAGGAACCACACTAAATTAAGCCAAGGAACGCAGACTCAACCTCAAAATAGGTTTGGGACACTGGTATGACCGAAAGGCTTAAACTTTATAGATCATATGACGAAAGAGACAGGTTCCAAGATCCTCACAGTAAAATACACATTCCGGAGATACAGTGCAATGATTCAAAAGTTCACCAAAATAAAATATGAAGCTAATTTCAAGCTCTTCTTTGATGAAACAAAAGTTTTCATATTAGGAACAACACTAAATAAAGCCAAGGAACACAAACTCAACCTCAAAATAGGTTTCACAAAAAAAAAAAGTGAGATTCCTAAGATCAGAGTTTACCTGTCATCCAGTTTCAGTCTTAAAACTTTACACATATGCCAAAACTCGCTGCCCCGAACACGAACAAGTCCACCCTATAAACATAGTCATATACACACAAAAGAAAGATGTAAAATTACATTAGCTATTTGAATCACCACAAATTTCACTCAACAAAATCATAGAAAGAACACAACAATATATATGTCGGTACTAAAACCATCTCTAGTAGTAGTACCAAATTCCCAGACACCGCCAGCATCAATTTGGCTTCTCTTTCTTTCAAATGCTTCTACTAGTGATTGGTTTCATTACGTAAAACGAATAAACGCACCCGTTCAAGTACGCCGTAGAATGTTGCGAATTCTTAGAAAACTCTCCTTCTCATTTTCAGCATATCCGTATCAATTTCTATTCATATTCCTACAGAATGAGCAAGACAGACGAGAAAATGCACCCTATTACCCTTTTACAGGGAAACACAAATCCTGTAGAAACCAGGAGAAACAACCTCACAAATTCACACAATACAAGTTCAATGAACTATCGCAAAAATTGACACAGAACAGCACGAAGAGGGAGATAGTGCCTTGCGAGAAGGAAGATCTTCGGAGAAGAAGCGAGGGAGGCCGCCGCGAGACTGGTTCAGGACGTCGGAAGGAGATGAAGAAAGCGAAGCAGAAGAGAAGGTTCTGAGGTTCGAAGCTCGACGCCATGGGAGGGGACTGAGGAAGTCGGGGCAAAGCGTCCGTACAGACGCCAGGGCTCTCATTTTCCCGGAGGGATGAAGATGATTTCGGGACTGAGCGAAAAAAGATGAAAGAAAGTAATATCAAAGAGAACCCTGTACTATCTTTCTTAATGCAAAATTACCCGAAAACTTTTAAAAGGCGCCCCATAATTATATTTGAGTCAAATTCCATGTGAAAAATGAATTTGGTATAATATTTTAAACCTCGTAAATGTACAATTTTACCCTTTGAACCCTCTGACGACCGTAGAGTCTCTCACACTGCACGTCGTCCCAAAACCGAGACTTCTTCAGCTTGCAGTCAAGCTTTAGCAAATAGAAAGCCTCGCTGAACTTGCTAACAGATAGTATTTTAGTCGTACTTTGCGAGTTACCACTCGTTCAAACCCTGACACTATTACTAACCCTTTAAACCGAATGGAGCTTATTCGTATCCTCGGCTAATGCCATGTATTCAACTCCACGCTAATCACGTTACCTCGGCAAAACCTGGATCTTGTTTTTATCCAAATCAACTGCATAATCAGAATCACAACGTCATATAAGATTCTCTATTGAACTTTAGTTTCGGATCTGTTGCCCCATTCATGAACATTCACTTAACCGCTAACCAATGATAACAACCATCGGCTTCACCAAATGTGGTCTTGACCCGATCATTGCATACATGACAATCCTTACTACATTCGCCCTTCTAAACATTCTTGATCCTTTGTTAGAGCTTGAGGTTTAGGTTTAGAATGGGTTCCGGGAGGAGTGGCTATTGTGCTTGCACTCTCCATCTCAAAAGTGACCAGAATTTTCTGCAAGTTTCGAACCTAGTCTCATGACCTTTAGTCTAACGATAATTAAAGGAAACATAAACTCAAATCCTAGTGTTCTTCGTTTTACCTTGTATCCTCTCATAGGAGGGAGGGGGTGGTAAGTTTCTCAATATCGACCACACTCTCCATCTTCGAGCTCCTCCTCCTCACAGTTTCCTTCCATACCATTTTTGTCGTCGTCCTTTTTACGCCTCTTTTCGCCATTTTCTTCGTCCTTTCTGCGTCGTTTTTCCCTGCTTTCACCCTCCGCTTCTGGTGTGGATGTCTGCCGCTAATCACACATTCATCATTGAAGAGGCATGAGCTAAAACATCTTTTGTGCACTATTCGACATTTTGATATGATATGTAGTAGAACAATCCTACCCGAGTCCATGTTTGTCCCTATGTTATGCGATACAGAAAGGGGAGACGAGAAATATCCTAAAACATCCTGAACAGGTTATTGGATCTAATTTTTTTTAATTATAAACATAATATATCTCTCTATTAGGGTTTCGCTTTTAGTATTTAGAAATGAAGAGTGATTTTGGTCATTCATACACTAAAATTAGTAGTTCTGACAATCTGTATGAATTTAAGATCATTATCTCCATTTAGATTTTTCCCCAAAAGAAATCCGCGCCATACTTTCATGATCGTTGAGACCTAGGGAAGAATATTGCTCTAAATTCGCTATTCGACTTGTATGCATCAAAAGTCTCGCTTAACAATAATTGAAACACATGGGACCGGATGAGAACACGTACCCTTTGTCTAGATTTGTCGTGACTACCACCATTTTTATGGGTTCCATTCTTGCGGCTTGTCTCGTTTTCCTTAAAATTACCATGTCGGTCTCGATGTCTATTACCACTGCCTCTTGCCGATCTTCTACCCTCTTTCCCATGGCCTTCAACCAAATCATGATTGTCATAATCATCAACTGAAGCTTCCTCATGGCCATCTTTACTGTCATCTCTTCTGTGTTTTGCCTTCTTTTTGTCTTCTCTCACAGCCTCCTTTACCTGCAGTCGTAAGACCAAAAAACCATCTCGGGTAAGCTCTAACTTAAACTGCACTAAATGAAAGACAGATTCACGAAGAAACTACAACAGGCTCATTTGAAGCAACGCTAGCTCGTAAGATTGGTATAACAGATATACAGATAACACCAACTCAAGTTTCCACCAATGAGCCACAGTTTTAATAAGGATGTTGATGGTAAAACAGACCAACAAAGCATGTAATTCAGCTCGATAAACATCAGATTATCGCTTGTTGAGGTTGTCGTTGTTGTTACGTGCTTGTTATGGAGTAAACACGCTATTCATAATGATAATCAATGAATCCTCTATTACAAGAAATTTCTGTAGAAACATATCAGTATTCAATAACTATAACTTAAGCATAAGCAGTGTTTATCTCTGATGGTTCTGTTCTGTTAACTTCTACTGGATTAGTGCTTTTAACCCCAAATCAAAAGAAATTGTGAAAGACACAAGATCTTTCATTCCTAATACAACAGTAGAATCCCTATAACATAAGTGGAAGCTTATTCATTTGTCGATAAAATAAGAGAAGTGCAATTTCAACAGTACCTTTTCCTCTTCTCTCCGTTTGATTTCTGTCGCTCGCTCTTTCAGGTGTGACACATAATCCTCGAATGTCTGCCTCCGGAAGTCCTCATCTCCTACGGACCTAGATAAAAGAATAAACAATATAACAATTAACACTTTCAGTATTAGTTCAATTGTAATTGTTGCAGCTAAGCTAATACCCATAGTATATAGCCTAACAATCACCTATAATCATTCATTCATTTCATGAACAAAGCAAGCAGCTTATAAGTCCTCTAACGGGAAGTCTTGGCTAATAAGATAACATGCGTCTAGAGATTCCAAAACGTTACACTCAAAGCAAAGGCTAAAACGGGAAAACAAAAAGAGCAACTATGACCAATCCAAGAATATCTTCAAGCAAATAGCAGAACAAAGTGAGCCAGACGCAGGTGAAATTCACGTTTCCAAAGCCATTTTTGCTTTCCCAAACAAAACACAAATACAAAGCAGCAGAATATTAGAGGCACAACGCTAAAGTGAAACCAACAACAAATACATGGTTGGTGCCACAGTGTAAGTGCAAAAAGAAAAAAAGACAGGTTTTAGAAGTTAAACCGAATAGTTGAAACCAAGTTGAAAAATCAAGTAAAACATAGTAATGACAGGTAACAAGCTCTAAATTCTAAAAGGCCTAAAACTTTTCATAGTGCAGTACATGGAAATTGAGGAATCAAGTTGTGCCATGCATACGAACTGGAAGAGACATCCTAAATCAGGGGAAATCAATATGCTGTTGTTATCCATGAATAATCAGACTAAAGCACCAACATACCTGCACTCTTGACTACCTTCAACAAGATGTTTACAGTCTTCCCAGGATGACGATGCAGTTATATCCTGCAGCCAAAAGGAAACAGGTAAGTACGGAATCCAGAAGGTCATCTGTCACATAACATCACAGAGTATCAAACACATAAATTTGACACCTTGAAAGAACGAAGAATATCCACCAAGTCTTCAGCAAGACGTTTACATTTCTTAGCTTCCTTCCCTTCCTTTTCTTTCACCCTCTCAAGCAAATCATCAAAAACTAACTAAAAACATCACCACAACAAAATATTTTACATGGTATTAATTGTAAGGAAATCATAATAGGATACAAAAAAATTAATATTTCATATATTATAGTCGTTATATGGAAGAATGCTAGCCACTTAAGTTCATTGGGTCTTACTAATTGACATGCACATGATGTTATTAGCAATGTCAAGCAGGCCCTCAACACTGTCGGATGATATGACATCAGAATATCAGATGATGATTAGAACATGTTTCAAACTAATAGTAAGCCATCTGTTTTGAGACCCAGCACTGTTATTTCCATCAAGCAACAATACACATTCAATGGAAATCACATGCCTCTAAAGTTGTGTTGATAAGTCAGAAGTTCAAAAGTGCAAGACAATGTAACATCACAAGTGAAAAGCAAAGAATTGCAGACCTTCAGATTAACATCTGATACAGGAAAGCTAATTTCCTCTGAAACTGAGACCTTGAACTCGTCAAATGTTGATGCGGATGATAAAGTTATCTGAGGGAAGTGTGAGAATATCAAACATCAAGAAAAATAATGATATGCTTACAGAAGAAAAACCAATACCAATACCTTTCCACGCTTCAAGCAATGTTTTATCCGGGATTTGAGCTCTCGGTGCTGTACAACGCAAAAAAAAAAACATATTATACAACAAACATATGAATTAGAAAATCTTGCCCATAGGAAATAGGAAATGGCGGAGGCTTGGTTTGCTCAAGCCGCTGAGTATTGAAAACAGGCTATAAGCCTATAACGCTTACTCCTGGTAATTATATTGAAGCACAGAATTGAGAGATCCAATCGGAGAAAAAATTTCCAAATAAAATAAATTATTTAAGAGTCTAAAGTCCGGTTAAAAACGAAAAAAGGGAGTAAAAGGAAAAAATTGAAAAATGCATAACACGTTTAAAATCTTCACCCAATAAATTGTTATGATTCTCCATGATATGGGTAAAAAATAACATTGATCAGTACAACTTAGCACCTGTTTCTGCAAATCATCAACAGCGTCTTCAAATAAATCTTTTGGAGTAGCCCCAGAAGAGTTTGATACAATTGCTGAATACACTGGTGAATCTCTGACCTTTAATATAAAACCCAATTTTTAAATCAAAATCATTAATTTCAAACAGATATATAAACATTTTTTACATGACAATAAAATACGAGTCAACCTTTGTTAAATAGTCACGCCAACTAATTTTTGCAGTAAGTACTCCGGTTGAGATATGTTCATCTATCAACTTACGGAACTCATCCCGATTCTTCCTCTCTGCCTTTTTCAGCTCCTCCTGTTTTCATGAATGACAGATATAAGAATAGCAATATTCAATTATCACTATCAACTAGATGTCAATTGTGTTGTTAAAGAAGCCTGCACCAAACGCACCTTCAGTATCTTCTTTCTCTCCTCTTCTTCTCGCTCCAAATCACGTAAATATTCCTTTAAAACAATTCATATTAATTGAGTGAAGAATCAAAAGCGCTACCAGTGTTTTATGTTTAAAAATAACCTGAAAGATTTCTATCCGATCAATTTTTTCGAGATGCAGACATCTTTCATCTGCTTCTAAGCGGTCCTGAACTTTGCGCCACTGACTATTTGGCTGCAGATGGTAAGGATTATGTAAGTCTAGAGTAGCATTGAACAGTTTAGAGAGCAAAAAGCATTTTACCTTAATGAAATCGCAATATTCCAAAAAGTTCCGGTATTCAATTATGTTCCGCTTGCGCTCCTCAAGTGCTTTTACGCGCTCCTTAGAGAATTAACCACAATAGTACCAGAATCAAAGTCAATCTCCAAACTTAAGACGGGCCATATTGATAAATCAGAATGATTACACATGCGGGCATCTTCATAAGAAACACTGCCGTAATTTTTCAAACAAACATGAGTGTATCAGTTAGCATATGGACCTTTTCCTTCATCTCATCGATATGATCTTCAAAAATATCGCGCCGATCCTTTTCTCTGTCAAGTGCTTTGAAACGCTCATCGCCTTCAAACATATTTACAGCTTTGCTGGATTTGATTTGAACAACTCCGTTAAGAAAATAGCATGTCATTAAAATAAACTGTAAATTAGGACTTCTAACAAATCAGAATTTTTTCAGGCAAGGCAAACCTCCATCGAGTAGACGGAGTGAGCTCCATGCATTCCTGAAAACCAAAATCCAAGGATTTAGTTATTTGAATGTGTCTCTTTTTATGGTTTCGTACTGCACAGTTCCGTCATTTGTAAAACGTAACAGCAGTATGCAGATTTTATATAATTTGAAGTTTCTAAAAAGGACAGCCAGAAATATGCAACATCAGAAGGAAAAGGGAACTCACTTCTAACATCTTTTTGAATTCTTCGCATTTTTTATTCTGTTTGACCCGCCGTTCTTCAGCTTCCTCTATTTTCTTTTGAATTAAGAACTGAAACACGATATTATAGTTCACAAACGATGAGCAACGTGTGTCATTTATAGTCTAGACCTTAAGGAACCGGACAGTCTATATATTTTAAGCCCGTGAAACCTATTTGATTTTTTCTTTTGCTAATTTTCTTTATTTCTCACGAGTAAAAAAAAGGTAGCCCAGTAAACTATAAAATCATTTACTTTTCATGAGTAAGTTATGAAATATTAAAGTAACCTCATTGAAAGCCTGCTTTCGTTCTCCAAGAGTCCTCAAAGCACCATATCTTTTGTCAGTAATTATTACTCTCATTGCCTGTTGCAACAACCATCTCAACAACATGAGACGTGTTCATACAGCATACAGCTAAGTAGAAAGAGGTATACTACCTGTTCCCATGTCCAGTCAGATCCAACATTTGCAGATTCCAAAAGTGATTTAAAGGCATCAGTAACTTCCTACATAACGAAGTAAGACATGAATGCTGCATGTAGTGAAAAACCAGAAGTGCACAATCAACATCGAAACAACTGCAAACCAATTTGTTGGCATAAGAAACAAGCTCTTTCTGGATTCGCTCCCCTTCAAATTGACTATCAATATTTTCACCGTCCATTGTATTTTTCTCGCTTCCTTTGGGCTCAGACCTACAGTCTTGCTAGAGAACAGATGAACAATTGTTACACATGGCGAGATAGCATGCCAATAAGAGATGTCCGTTCATAAGCTTCACATACCTTCACATCATCTGCTGATGGCCCATCTGAAGCTCTAAAATTCTCAGTAGAGATCTTATCCTTGTCAACACTGCAAAATTATCGATGAAAAAGTTATTTGACATGTCATTCTCACAAATGAAGTTCGATAAACAAAGAAACCAAGGCTATCAATACAACATTTCTGCAATAGATTTTGTCTCGGCGGCAGAAGCACCAGCAGTTGCTGTGTTATCAAGCAGTTGTGACGTGCTGCTATCTGCGTTCAACTGAATTTCATCTGCATTTTCTATCAGAGAAGAACTTCCACAAGCTGAAGCTGCCAGCTCAGAAGAGGCCACAGGTTTCTCATTGGAAATAGAAGTTGATGGCATAAGCGAAACTTGGCTTGAAAGAACAGATGCGGCACTAAATGCCATAATGGAAGTAGATGGCATCTTAGAAACATTCACGCTAGCTTCCAGCTGTGGTCCTTGAACAGATGCCTTTTCTAATTGTTCACGAGCGATCTTGAAAGCAAAGGTTTTGAAATTAACACATCAAGAAAAACAGAGAAAATAGAAAGCAGAAATTGAGAAAAGAGAATGATGAGAAAATAATTTGTCTTCAAGGAAACCTTTAATTCCTCAGGTATTGACCACGTTGACTGCTTGGTAACCTTGTTATAGTAATACCTGCAGAACAATCAAATGAAGAACTTTGTTTCTGAATCCACCGCATATGAGAAGATTATCCATGACTTCTAGCATACTTACTTTCTACCATCGGGACTTGTATGTTCTTTCCAGTTAGTTGATGCATCTGCTCTCTGTAACATCAATGGAGATATGTTAAACATTAATGTACCCAGACAGTTTCTTTTATCATTGCTTGAGATCACAAAGAAGGGAAAAAAGAAGTGACTAACTCCAATTTGCACCAAACATCAACTAGACAACACAAATTAGATATATCTTACTAATTCTAATGATATTTGAACTAAAGTGACGAGAAGACCTGAGACTGAAACAGTCAATTCTGCAGTTCTCCGTTAAACCAATAGAGAAAATCAGCATAACGTATCTGCTTAAGATTCAATGAAATTGTGGATAAAGCACTAGTTCTATACTGAACGACAGGCTCACACCATTTGCAACTGTGCAAACAGATGATATTGAAAACGTTGCACCATATACATCGAACAACATCATATGCAACACAATGCAATTTTGGGAAGGAAAATGAAGAGATCATTCACAAAACTTCATTCTAATCCTACAAAAGCATACAGAAGACAAGATCTTATGGAACTACAATTCAATATCTCAAGTCGTGAAGTGTAAAATAACTGACCTCAAGTTGTGTCATCAACTCAAAAGGCTTCTCCCAAGTAGACTGCTTTGTCCTTTTGTTGAAAAAGTACCTGGCAACAAGCAAATAATGAATGCCATTAACCATTTATTACCTATTACACGTGGAAATCCAGAATTAAAATAGTGTACTCCATAAGACAAATTATAGAAACAAGACTTGCAACCAGTACAGAGACTAGACAAAGATTTCAGAAGTACAGGACCCCTTAAAGTATGCCAAGAACTCAAATGAATAATCAAAAAGACGAAGAGGAAGGAGAAAGAGAACAACAAAAAGGAAAACAATCTCTTTCCATAAGTTATGGTTCTTCCTAGAGAACAATTGCTACGATGAAAGTTTCATGCCAATTTGGTAAGGATGAACTATAAACAACCAAAGAAAGAAAGAAGACATTCAAGTGGTAAGCCCTACCTCCTTCCATCCGTGGAAGTATGCTCCACCCAATCTGTTAGAGCTTCTTCGGATGGCTTCGGTTGTACACAAGCAGCCTATAAAGATGCAAGAAACAATTATCGATGAAGAATAGGTGTCACCAAGTAATAACATAAAACAAGGATTTCAATAAAGAAGGTAATCAGTACTCAGTAGAAGAGACGATGTCACTACCGAAGGCTGTTCAAATGTGGGATACATGGTAGAAGCAGCCGCCGTATTTTGGATGAGAAATGCCCCCTCTGAACGAGCATAAGATGAGGCAAACTGCAAACAGTGCATTCCACAAAGTGAACGACTTGAGACCAATACCAAATAAACACACAAAATCTCATTCTTGCTTACTGAAATAGAGGAAGATATTGTTCCATGGCCCCCAAAGGCAGGCGTAAAGTTGGCTGGAGTTTGCACACCAGGATGACGAAAGGAGATCCTAGAAGCCATTGGCCCACTCGAGTGTGCAATTAGTGCAGGTGGTCCTCGTGCCACTTGTTGCACATTACCTGATTGGCTGGATCTTTCAAATAATTGGGGCATTGGTGCTATAGACTGAGGTGGAAGAGATTGAGATGAAAAGCCACAAATCATCGATGTACCACCTCTATCAACAGACTGAAAATTCTGAGAATTCATTGCCACAAACTGCTCTGATTGTGGAACTAGAAAGGTAGGACGGAACTGGCAGAAACACAAGATAACAACAAGGTAGAAAACATTAGTCAAGTATAATCTTAAGATTTTTCACATATATACCAAAATTCTGGAAGAAGAATGGTACCTGAAAGTCCATCGATGGAGCAAATTCTTGAGTAGCACGTATGAGGCCACCACTCGGAGGACGGAGAGGCTTCAGAGTGAAATTGTGTCAATAAAACATACTACTAAAGGTAATATTAAAAAAAAATTGAAAGGAATACGCAAAACATCCAAGTCCACTTGCACTGACGTTAAAAGGTTTTGTTATGAACCAAGATCTTCAAATCAGATGCTGGGATGAGAAAAAAAAGGAGGAAGAAAGAGAAAGAAGGCTGAACTAAAAGAAGAAACGATAGTAAAAAAAGCAGATGCCAAATGATAAAAGAAAAACATTTTGACTGATACAAAAGCATGGAAAAATTTCAGCCACCATACATAGTTTTCATAAATCCAGAAAAGTTTCACCCAAAACCAATAAAGGTCACCAATGAGTGCTCCAATGCCTTAATGAATTCGCTCCACAACCGGTGACATACACAGAAAAGGATCAGAGGAGTGAAGAAGTGCAAATAGAACAGTCAAGGGAGTAACAGAAATAGAATAGCAATTAACAAGAGGGCCCATGTATTCCTTTGCGGATTACCTGAAAGCCCGGATATTGAGGGTTATTGGACATCTTCCAGCAGTATGAGCCTACGGAAACCCCACGAAAAGATTTATATCATTGATCTCTGAAAGAAAGTAAAAAAGGAACAAAAATGAAACAAGAACTTAACACCTGCAGCATAACGACAATGCAGAATACTAGCACACACAGGGAGTCCTGCCACCAACAGATACATCCCCGTCTTTACATTCGTCAACACTCAACAGACCAAATGGAAATGGTTACCTCAAAAACCATATGCACCAGTTCATGAAATGACGCATGACATTCACTCTAGCAGGTCTGATAAAAAAACCTTTTGTCTACAACCAAATTTACCGCAAAATGATGAAATAGGTGTGATTACCAAATTAGTGCATGACACAACATAACATACCAGATACTTAATCCGAATTAGAACAATAGAACAAGATAATAAAAAAGATCAGAAGAGTAGTTCGAAAAAACCAAGTTCACACTATCCGTGAAAAATCAAGCAGGAAATCAACTAAAATTAGGAAATGAGAATATCAGAGAACATGATCGAAGGTTTTACTCTGGCAAATTACTTGTCATGATTATATCCCAAGATCCATTTCGGAAACATGAAGGTTACAAAGCGAACTCATTTCCTCGAATTCGACCCAGAAAAGAAATAGAGATTTCAAGAACCGATTCCCAAAACCCTAATGAAATCGACAGAGACAAGGAAATATCCACGACCGTACACACGGTGGTGAATTTCTTTGGAGTAAACTGAGAAATCAAGAACCCCTAACGGTCAAGTAGAATTTGAGCAAATATTTCAAGAACCGAATCCCAAAACCCTAGTGAAATCGACAGAGACAAGGAAATACCCGAAACCGTACATACGACGGTGAATCCCTTCGGAGTAAACTGAGAAATCAAGAAACCCTATCGGTCAAGCAGAATTTGAGCGGAGAAAATGACGAATTGCTGAGAATTACAAATTCCAAGGAACGAGACGTTGAAGAAGAAGCGAAACTCAGAGCGAGGCCAAGAGCGCCGCGCTCCACCTTCCTACAAGAAACATCTACACGAATGGGATGAAATGGCGAGAACTGGATCTTTTCGCTGTATATATATGGGTTTGTGTATTTATGTCGGCGTATAAAAAGGTTGTGTTTATATATGTGTATTTGTGTGTGTTTTTCCCTGATATTTGATAATATATATGGATACTATAATTACATTTGTTTCATTAAAATTTAAATATTTAAAAATTGCTGTTATATTATGTATTATATATTGTCTAGTTTAATACTATAATATACAGCAATTTTTAAATATTTAAATTTTAATGAAACAAATGTAATTATAGTATCCATATATATTATCAAATATCAGGGGAAAACACACACAAATACACATATATAAAAAAAATTCTTACCGTTTTCTCTATTTAAACCATTTTTTCTCAGTTTTTAAATTTACTTGACTAGTTAATTTGATATATCCTTTTCCTTCAATAAAATCTAATGAAAATGTCGTTTAATATATTTGATCCGAGTAAAAAAAAAAGATATGAAAATTGACCATTCTATATTAAAATGAAATCTGAATGAATTTCAAATTGAAATGAATAACATTTGATGAATCTAAATTTGTATACGAAGAAAAGCTAGTAATCATATAGAGACCTAAAATTTCATTTAATATATATAAGTATCACTTGCTATATTTGATTAAGGTTGGATCATATAAAATCGCATTGTCCACGTGGAACAACATTTGTATAGCCCAGCTTCAAAATTAAACCAATAAATCATTGTTAGAATAAGTTAAATCCAGAAGGTTAGTTAGAACTTAATAAAGATAGTATGATTAACTATGGATGGACCTATGCAGAAATGCATGGGGTCAGACGTCTCCATTTATTCAATTACCATTTTTTAATTTCTATCTAAAATTTTAAATTAAATTATTATATGTTCCATGGTAAATTTTAATTTATATAAAGGTAATATTAAATTTACCCCCAATTATATATTACACTGTCTAGGAATATTATTTGTAAACATTACGAAACTAAATCATTTTACTAACGGCCAAGAGAGACTAGCAAAGGAAGGAAATCGGTCGATTATCTCTAATTTGCTCCATAAAATTATCCCAATTCAATCCGTGGTGCCCGAATTATATTTCTAATTAACGCTATTACGAAAAATCTATAGAAAAAATATTTTAAAATAATTAAAATATTTTATATAACAATTTTTAGCTATATATTTTTTTGTTATATATATGTGTCATGATTTTTTTTAAGAATATCACATAAGAATTTGAGTCATAAAAACAAAACTTCTTATTAATTTTCTGTAAAATTTTGAATTTTTTAAACAGAGAAAGGTTGATTCAATTTAGGTGGTGCTCCTTTTAGATTTTTTTTCAAGTTTTAGGGTTAAAATTGTAAACGTCAATTTTATTTTTAAATTTTAAATTTTAAAAATGAACTGTCGCGAACAGCAGGGTCCACACAGCACGTACAGGCGGCAAAATTTAAAATTAGAAAAAAAAAAAGACAGCTCATTGCGACCGTATTTGTGGTTGGCAGTGGCCCACACATATCGTGACACGTGTCCCCCATGGGCCGTTACATAAAATCCACCCCCATTTTCTCCGAGCCCTAGAATTCGAATAGCAGATCTGCAAAACCATCTCAAGGAAGGCGTCTTCATAAACGCCTCCACTTTTTGTTCTTGTTCTTCCTCATCGCAACTTTTCTTTCGCCGGAACTGGTTTTGTTTCCTTCTCGAGATCAAAGATGAGAGAGTGCATTTCGATCCACATCGGTCAGGCTGGTATTCAGGTCGGCAATGCCTGTTGGGAGCTTTATTGTCTCGAACATGGCATCCAGGTGCGTCTCTCTCTCTCTCTCTCTGATTTTTTATTTTGTTTTGATTCGGATCTGTGGCTTCGTTGTGTGAATCCTGTTTCGAGTCTACTTTGATTCATTCAGATCTGAGGATCTGTTGTCGTTTATCTTTGGATCTGCAACGATTCTGATGATTTCTCAGATGCGTAGTGTTTTTGTGCTCATGGTTGTCATGATATGTGTTTTGTAATATTCTCTCATCCCTGATAAAGTGGGTCGGTGTTTTAGATTGATTCTGTGTCTTCGTTTAGACGTATCCGTAGAATGTGATTATGTTTTCACCAAATTAGTAGAGGAATAAGATTCGTTAGATTCATTTTTTTTTCTTTATGGATGTGTAGATCTGATATTTTCTTTTTTCTTTGGGTAAAAGCAGATCTGATATTTTCACAGCATGACTTGAATCATTTCTTACTGATTGTTAATTTCGAGTTGTCTGAAAACAAAGTTTCCTTCACATCGATTCCTTTTTTGCCGATGTTATGTTGATATTTCGATTTGTTTATCAGATCTACTGATATATCTCTCCGTCTCTCTCATTCTTTTTTTTTTCTGGGAGTTTTTCTGTACTAACTTTGGGCTTTCTGATTTGGGAAACCGCAGCCTGATGGCCAAATGCCGAGTGACAAGACTGTCGGTGGAGGTGATGATGCTTTCAACACCTTCTTCAGCGAAACAGGTGCAGGGAAGCATGTTCCCCGTGCTGTGTTTGTGGATCTCGAGCCCACTGTGATTGATGAGGTCAGGACCGGTACTTACCGTCAGCTTTTCCACCCTGAGCAACTCATCAGCGGCAAAGAGGATGCTGCTAACAACTTCGCCCGTGGCCACTACACCATCGGCAAGGAGATTGTTGACCTTTGTCTTGACCGTATCAGGAAGCTTGCTGATAACTGCACTGGTCTCCAGGGTTTCCTTGTCTTCCATGCTGTCGGAGGAGGGACTGGCTCGGGTCTTGGATCCCTTCTCCTCGAGCGTCTTTCTGTTGACTATGGAAAAAAATCCAAACTTGGTTTTACTGTGTACCCATCTCCACAGGTTTCAACCTCTGTTGTTGAGCCGTACAACAGTGTACTTTCCACTCACTCTCTCTTGGAACACACTGATGTTGCTGTCCTTCTCGACAATGAGGCAATCTATGACATCTGCAGGCGCTCTCTCAACATCGAGAGGCCAACCTACACCAACCTCAATCGCCTTGTCTCTCAGGTAATCACAGTTCCCTGATGTTGTAATTCTGTTTTGTTGTATCTTGGCTCTCTCTAATGCTCGCTCCTCTCTTGCTTTGTAATTCAGGTGATTTCTTCCCTGACTGCTTCTCTGAGGTTTGATGGTGCCTTGAACGTCGATGTCAACGAATTCCAGACCAACTTGGTCCCATACCCGAGAATCCACTTCATGCTTTCCTCTTATGCCCCTGTTATCTCTGCGGAGAAAGCCTACCATGAGCAACTCTCGGTGGCCGAGATCACCAACAGCGCATTTGAGCCCGCGTCTATGATGGCAAAGTGTGACCCACGCCATGGCAAGTACATGGCCTGCTGCCTGATGTACCGTGGAGATGTTGTCCCTAAAGATGTGAACGCTGCTGTTTCCACCATCAAGACAAAGCGCACCATCCAGTTCGTGGACTGGTGCCCGACTGGATTTAAGTGCGGTATCAACTACCAGCCTCCAACCGTTGTTCCGGGGGGTGATCTTGCGAAGGTGCAGAGAGCAGTGTGCATGATCTCGAACTCCACCAGTGTGGCTGAGGTCTTCTCCCGCATCGACTACAAGTTTGACCTCATGTACGCAAAGCGTGCATTTGTCCACTGGTACGTGGGCGAGGGTATGGAAGAAGGGGAATTCTCTGAGGCTCGTGAGGATCTGGCTGCATTGGAGAAGGACTATGAGGAAGTTGGAGCTGAAGGCGGTGAGGACGATGAGGAAGAAGGCGAGGAGTACTGAGAGAGGAGGAAAAAAAACACCGTTGAAACTGTTTTTCTGTTGTCTACTTTGTGAAACCGTTATGTCTCTTTTTATCTTCTACTCGGTCTGGATTTCTTGACTCTCTGGTGTTCCAAGTGTTTGTTTCTGGGAAACTTTGGTGTCATTCTTAGTGTTATCATAACTATGTTATGTCCGGTGGCCAGATTCTTCATCATGAAAGATTTTATCGTGCAGATCATTCCGTGTAGGTTAGAGTTGATTTTTTAATCAAAAAAGTATTGGGCTTCTTGATGGATTGGATTTGAATAACATACATACATGACACAAATACATACATGACATCAAGTGGCAGAAAGTGATGTAAGCGTGTTTTAATATATATATATATATATATATATATTTAATGGATTATATCATCATATCACTCTTAAATGATTATATACCAAAATGGTCTGTTTATGGCCTCCCATCTAATCATATCACAAACACACTTATAAATGACAAGATCCAAAAATAGCAACACAGTACATATCTAAATTACATTGCATTTCAATAATAAAAAAGACAATAATAATATTCAGGTTATATACAAATACAACTGTTTTAAAATAAAATATAAAATAATGTCAATTGCATATATGTGCATTTATATGTACATACGGCCAACTCACCAAAATGGGCACCACCTGAAATAGGGGGGAGACGAAAACAAGGATAACAAATGAATAAGAGAGACAAAAACATGAATACGAACAACACAACACTTCCAAAGCTTTCCGTATGTGGAAAAATAAGAGCCGGTCACTAGGACAGGGCATTTAGGTTCGACCATGTAAAACCGAATTGACCTTAGCCGAATAATATATAGTTGCATTGAAATCAAAATCAAATGAATATTACTTAAAAACTAAAAAAACTTGCTCAAATCGAATATAAAAATAACCGAAAAAATAAAATAAAAAATTGTTGGTAAAAAACGAACCAGAAAAGAAATTGAACCGAATAAAATCCAATGCAAAAACCAAATGGATCTAATTTTTTTTTAACCGAATCCGAGTATAATTGAACCGAAACCCAAAATGTCCACCCCTACTAACTGTATAGGTAAAATGCGAGCAGAACATAGGTGTTGAGAGGAAGAAGATGAATCATACCCGACATAGTTCTGGCAGAGATTTTCATGAGAAGTAGCTTGGTTTATCAGTTTCTGAACTTGGAGTTTCACGGATAAACCGTGTTCGACTTCATGTGGCTCCCCAACAAGCAAGTTGTTGTGGTCCGTTCCATGCTGCATCGGATTGTTTGCCGTCACCGATGTAGAAAAATCACGCCCCGTAAGTTTATTACTCATCCGAGCCATCACAACCACAGCCCGCTCATTGAGCACTTCATTAGCATCTCCGAGCATATTCACAGCCTACAGAATTTCCAAATGGTTAGACACCAGACCTAAACCAGAGTATAATCGAGATAACCGGACCGAATCGAAACCCGAAATGACGATGTTTGCAATGAATAGAAGGAGATGATTCAATAACCTGAAGAATTTCCTTCTCCCGAGCGCTTCGTTGAGGTTGAGGAAGATCCCTATTCTGAGAAGATTCTTCGCCATTGACAACAGCAACAGCAGCAGTAGCATTGTTGCCTAGCATTGCTAGTTGCGGAACTTCGTTGAAATTGAACAGACGCCAATTGATTAAAGGATCATGCACAAAGGCCTGCGGATCAAGAACATTAAGGTTTTTCATCAAATTTATAACACATTTTTTTTACTTCCATGAACTGATTTGATCAAAATGACATCAGTAGCTTGAAAAAATTGTACACACAAAAAGAGAAGTAGCAAATTTCATGATACCCACTGACCTCCATCATTGCCATAACACTATCCTTATTTGTTCTGAGAACTTGCATAACATTTTCGCAAGTAGAACGGAAGTTCCCTTCAAGGCCACTGACCTCCATAGCTTTCACAAGCATTCTAGTCAGTCGGAATGGGACCTGCATTAAGCCAGAGCTCCAATTAAGTTCAACGTCACAATCATCATTTTTAAAGCATTAACACTGCCGAGTTTTTTTTTAATGGTGAGAGTACCTTCTCAGGAAATTTTTCCCTATTCATAGAAGCCTCAAAACAATCTCCAAAATCAATATGCAAGATTTTTCCGCTGCAAAATTGAACCACATTTATCAGTAAGAACTAACTTGGGAATGAGGCATTGTTGTTGTTGTTGTTGTTATCGGTAAGAACTGTAGTGCATAGGGGTAAAGGCGATAAAAACGGCAAAACACCTAATCCAAGAATTTTGTGTACCTGTATCTGTGCAGCATAAGATTACTTGGGTGTCGATCACCTAATCCAAGAATATAGCCAACCTGAAAATAGAGCAATGAGAGTTTCAGGTTCTAGGAAATACAAGTCAAAATCTGAGAAAGGGAGGTTCATTGTAATGAAGCTAAGAGTTTCACTTCCACGGTAAACAAATGTAATTTGCAGAAAGTGTATAAGATCATGTAGAAATTAAAATTTTCATCTTTTACAAAGAGGGGCCCATCTAGAAGACTAAAAGGAAGTAACGATCAAACCAAATAGACCCGGATAACATGTATATACAACCCACACAATATAGTATGAAAGACCAATACACACAGGTAACACATTGTAAAGGAAGATAATTTAACTTTAGTTCCTGAACTAAAATTCCAAACTAAAAAGCGGTATAATATTAATCACGTACCATACTCATCACTGCTAAGCTTCTGGTATAGTTTGTCCTCCTCTCTAGCCATACCTCTGAAGAACGACTTTTTAACCACAGAACCTACCAAATGAAAGGTTTTCTTTTTCTCAAAATTCAGAAAAGATATTATAGAGAAACGAAAATTAAGAAAAAATGCATACCCTGGCTAGATCATTTCCCTCGGTATTTTCTAGAGCATACTCAAATACTTCAACCTTTGCTACAAGTGGTAGGTTATCATAGTCCGGGGCAAAACTCAACATATATTTGTGTTCTTGATTAAGGGTGATCTGAAATCAGAAGCATGCGTAAGAGTTGATGAATTTGCAGTGGCCCCAATCCTCGGTCAATAAATAATTGATGGAAACTTCAAGTAACCAAATGAAATCCTTGAAAAATCCTGACAAACCTTTCTAGCATCTCTGTACTCTCGAATAAGGTGGTGTAGGGTATCACAATTTGGAACCCATCCGATTAGTCCACTGTTAGGAGATAATGGTATAACAGAATAACGTTGAATAGATAGATCTTTTTCCATAGTTTTTCTGGAATTCTCGAGCAGGGTATTCACCAAACCAAAAAGCTGAGACCAAAATGTAAACAAAAGATAAGTGCAAGATATGATCCAGGAACAGCTATCTCAGAAATCAGAGGGTTTATATAAATGAAATTCTGGCAGCCATCCCAGAAATCAAAAGCACAAAGCAAAAACAAAAACAGAGCTTACAAACTCGAAAAAAGAGTTTCTATTATTTCAACAATAGTTTCTCCAACTAGAATTTATGATGTTGGGAAAAAAGTTCTGAAAGTTACCTGCATAACACGTTCATCTTGCCGCAGGTCCTCGTGTCCCTTCAACAAAAAGGCATAGTCTTCACCATCATTTCCATGAATAGTCAATTTTCGGGGTCGCTGTTTAGAAGTTATGACAACAAGTTGGCGTGCAAATGATGCTATCGTCACAACAGGTGCATCTAAAAAAAAGAAGGAAGCAAAATTATGTAAGTCAATGCAGGTTAAAAACAAAACAGCATGGGTGAACTCTAGCAGTTGAAGGATTACCTGCACGATACGTTCCAGGAACAGCTAGTTCCAAGTCACGGCATCGAAGCAACTCAGGAGAAACAGACTGTTTAACAAGTACATCACCAGAGTTAGGTTAAATTTCCGAATTATAAGAGAGCAACAAAGAATTCATATTACCTCTAAATCCAAAGTTGTAAGACTGGCAAGCTGCTTATCAATCCTTCTGAAAACATGATAGTAAAGGTCCCACGCCTAATCCAGATAAAAGAAATAGAAAAGAAAATTGTGTCAGCCAGGTGTTGATGGTTTATTCAAAAGGTGCAGTCAAGATATATGATAACTTGCTTGAATAGAACAAAAGGTCCATTTTGATCTTCAATTTGTTGCTTACTGTTTATTTTGGTCGTGCACTATAAAATCAGATCATCCAAGTACTGAATTTGCAAAATTGTAAGTGACCAAAACAGTTATGAAATTTCATAATAGTCTCCAATCCATAGGTATAGGGTTTGTGGCAAAATTAGTGTTAAAATGGACACTTTGATGAAATATCATGATTGTTTTGAACACTTCTACGCAAGTGAGCTGCAGGTAATAGTACACAGTTCATACTGAACATTCAAGTTCAGAAACCTTCAGAAATATTTTAAACCCCAAAAATTACAGTTTGCCTTAAAAGGATTATTGTTACCTGAGTAAGTTCAGCATCTTTTCCAGTCCTTTTGTACTTGATGCAGCATTCATATGCCTCCAACAATTCGTGACGGAAAGCCTGCACCAACATATAAAGGCACTAACTTCAGCAGCTGATATGGTCGTTCAGTATACACATCTCATACACTGCAAAATCTCCATGAAGCAATTAGCTGATTCTACCTAGGGAAGTATATTGGGCTCAATATTATAAAACAAGAAAATGGCATAGAGGAGTGATAGAGGGTCTTATTTGAAAAATCTTGATAACAAAAAAATAATGCAGTGAATATAAGTAGTTACTACACACAAAAATTGATGCCACAATGCTGTAAAAGTCACAACGGAGAAAGTTGAAAATGACCACTGACAGGCACTATTTTATGCTCAAGATATATAGTACATAGTCAACTGAACCGAAGATGCAGAGAAAGGGTACCACCTCTATGAATGCTCTTTCTTTTATGGTTGTATTGTCCCTTCTAGCACCTTCTTCAAGCATCTCATGTAATGGTTCTAGCACTTTCAGCATTCCTTCAATGTTATGTTCACCAAAGTACAGACGACTAGCTTCTTCCAGTGCTTCATGCCACATTTCGTGCCAAAGTATGGCAACCCTGATTAGTTCATTAGAAACAAGTTGTGCCTGATCCACGAGTGAACATTAGTACACTAATAAAACAGAAATTGTTAAATAGAACTGAGAGAGAAACTTAAAAATCAACCTGATCCACGAGTAAACCACTGTGCTGGCGAACTTTGTCCACCACCTCTTGAGCTGCTGCCCTCCGCAAATTGCTAATTGATTTACATGCAACAAGAAGGGGATACATAAGTGCCTGCAAAAACGTGACAATAACTTCAGTGATGGAGATACCAAGCATTCCAGAGTTATAGAGACACCTGTATGCCAGACAAGAGATTACACAACAGTGAAATCCTAAATCTGAGTGAGAAATTTATGGAGTGGATACTGCATACAGAAAACCATGAATCTTGTCGGAACTCCCACCACAATTTATTCTGAATCCCATCAGGGTATTCAACATTCTAATGCATAGATTCCAGATTCTACATTAATGAGCTTAAAATACAATCATGCATCAAGAATCAGCGGCAAACCTGTGGATGGGTTTCTCCTATGCGGACCAGAAGTGACTGAATCAGCTCTCTAACTGCACGATTATTTGAATGTATCCTAGCAATTATTTGAGGTAACACAACAAGCCATGTATTGATATTAACGTGATTGAATCCTCTCTGCAATGCTTTTTGCATGTCACTTGTAGCTCCATGGTTAAACCACAAAGTGAGGAGTCGCAGTATGTCCTAACGCAGTGAAACAGAGAAAAATGTCAAAAGCAAATCAAATAGGAATTTTGCAGTCTAATATATTCTATTTACGGTAAAATACTCTTGTTAAATTAAACCGAAATAGTTGGAGAAATGAGCAAACCAGTACTCAATGCTTAATTGACTTCAAATCAATCTTGTACTTGAGAAGACATGGCATTATCTAATTTTCTGCTTTCAGTGTTTTTATCAGTTTGCATGTTGAAGTAGATTCAACAGTCAGATTGATATTAATACGATATAATCCCCAAACTCCTTTCACCATGTATCAAGAAACATTCCCTCCATTTTTTTCTAGATGCAAATGAAAATACGCCTGCTAATTCACCATGGCAAAACAAATTGAAACATTTCAACAAGTATAACGAGTAGCAAAGGATCTTGCATCAATAGGGAACAACCAAGTAAGACAATAAAAATTTCGAATTAAACCAAGAGGTACTCCTTTCACATTTCAAACATGGAAAAGATAGATAAACATTTTGCACACAAGGGGAACACACGTTTTACCTGTAAACTGTCATCAACTCCTTTGGCATTAGCTGCAAATGCTATTGAATGGAAATATCCAGTGACTGCAGCAACAGCGAACTGCGAAGCGTATTGACTTCTTAAAGTGTAATGAGACATCACTGCTGTATTAAATAATGCCCATGTGTGCCATGCCTTGGCCCATTGAGGAGCATACTGGGTGGCCTTACTAAATGCATCGAGGATTTCTGGATACACAAAATACGATCATCACATGCACTACGATTAGACACAATGTGCTCTAAAATATAGAAAATACAATCATAACAAGGACTATGATTAGATACAACATGCCATGCTATAAAGTAACTAAAATCCACCTTGGATAGAACCATCATTCAATCCCGGAGAAAGTGCCCATTGCCATGTTCCACGTTTGAGATGCACGCGTGCAAGGAGTGGCATATTTGCACCCTTGCTGGTAACCGTACTAGCCAGTGTTTCAGGTTGAGTATGTTGTGCACTTGAGAGCTCGCTCGCCAGACTCTGATAAAAAGTAAACTCGCATTGAGCAAAGACCTCATGGTCATTAAGTAAAAGGAAGATAAAATGTCAACAACAAGTATGTAGCTTATTAAAAAAATGTCAAACCTGAAGCTTAGAAAAAGCTTCTCGGCGCTTTTGTTCCTCTCCAAGAGACCACTGATATTTCAAGTATGCAAGCATCACTTCGGGAGGTCCATGGTAATGCAAGTTTTCGGGAGATGCTTCAGGGTCGAACTGAAAAATAAGATGGACTCAAATTAGATAAAGCAGGATGAAACAGCATTTTAACCTTTATACCTAGTGCATTTTCCAAAAGATGATTAGGAAATAACCTGCAACAGCTTCAGCAGAGTAGATTTAGCTTGACTGATCCTCCCACTTTTTCGACAAAGCGAACAAAACTTGAGCCACGTTTCAACATCTTCTGTAGGAGGCAGCACAAGCGCCCTAATAGCCAAAAGTGCTTGCCAAACCTAAGCGGTTTTGAGGAAATAAAGCAATATACAAGCTCAGATTACAGCAAGAAACAGTTGAGACCAATTCATAAATTCTAATATGTTTCTTTGTTTGCTTATAGATTTTTAAGGTGTAATCAGGATTAGAGGTTCTAACAGCCAGCATCAGCTTTCATCCATTTATCGACCCAAATTTTGTGTGGAAACTGGAAAGTATTAGAACAAGTTGGCATAAATATTATAAAGTTCACATCAGGGATAGGTAAATAACTTCCCATTTAAAAATATTAAATATATTTTTTCATAACACAAATCACTGACAAGAGAAGATTCTCCACTACCTCCCCTGCTCATCAGCTAGGAAATATTCCATTACCGAAAGCACCATGAGACATTTGATTTGTAGAACACCAATCAGCTTATCATTTAACTCAGAGAATCAACTAAAGAGAAACACAAAAACTCATTTACCTCTACATTCCGCTTAGTTCCCTGTATCCGTTGCGTCCACATATTACGAACTAGGGCTCGCCTTTCTTCAGCAATAGGATTTCCCATGGGCAATGTACAATATTCAATTACCTATTACAAAAGTAAGATGATGAAATAACCATCACATAATAGTATCAAGTTAACAATGTACTTCCAACTCCTATATGTTCCACTTCCCCCAAGGAAGCATATATTTTTCTTTTTTTTTACGATTTCACTGGCGCTTGGGGCTGGTTAGGGCAGTCGGGAAGCAATCTCACCTCTTCTAGCTCTGACAGCTGCTGAACACGAACCATATTGGTGTAAGCACGCTCATAACTCTCCAAAACCTGGAAATAACAGTTATACATAAAATGAACAAGGCGAAAAGTCAGACCATATTTTCTCCACCAGAGATACTCAATAAGCAACTACGTAGACAACCATGATGATTACAAAGTGCTTATATACCACGTCGGGATTAAATCCTAAAACTGCCAATAAAAACTAACATAATTTATACCATGTTAACGCTTATTTGTGCTCTACAACTTTTTCAATACATCTCCAAACCAAACTACAAGCAAACCTCTCTGAAAACAACAAAACCTAATTTCTGACAATTACATCCAAGCAGAACGTTATGCATCATTGAGCAGACGGTTAGGTTAAGAACTGAGAAAAAAGGCATCCCACGAGCAAAGATGGCCACCCTCTATTCAAAAGATACAACACGCTAGCTGAACACTCATTCTAGAAGAAAATAACAGAAAAAGAATGTGATTGCATTTCAAAAAGTTTATGATGTACTCAAGTTGCTATGAGAACAGAGAGAAAAGGCTTGAGATTAGTAAGAGAAAATCCTTGTTAATATACTTTTGTTGCCTTTTCTCAGATAGGACAAGAAGAGAATGCAGAATGATATTCTTCGCCAACTACTAACAATATAGTAATATACAATACACAAATGAGATGAACTAACCAATGCTGCAAGTTCTGTCGCAAGGCATTTCCTAGCTCTTTCAACATATTCCCGCGCCTCATCATACTACAAAAGGAAAACATATAAACACCAACAAATATTTAGATTTATACATATGCTGGTGGAAAGCAAATAATGTGGTTAATACTTGAGGTGCAAATTTACCTTCCCTCTTCGAACTAAAAGGACAGCCCTGAAAAATGTACCACTGCTGCCTCCATCACCATTTGATGTAGAGCTCCCCAAAGCCCGAAACTTTGATTCGTCGCCATCATCTAATCGAGACACATATTCTGCCATATGATCCCATTCACCCATATTCCACGCAGCACTAGCAGCCTGGTACAAAAGAAAAGACATACAGGTGACTGCAGTGCACAGGTATAATTACATCTGGCAAGCACAGAAGATACCAACCATTGGTGCCATTTCTAGACGAGCAGCAGGCTCAGCTGGAGACCAATATTCCTTGCAGAGGCTGTTCAGCTCCTCCCACCGTGCCAGTGCAGCAAGGCATCTCATTCGTCCTAAAGCGTGGAGGGAAAGAAGCAACATCAACCCAAAGGTATCAATCAAAGTTCAACTGTGCATTAAAATGCACTGGAAAGCAGGAGAAAGCGATCATTGTTTGTGAGACTTATGGAGACAAATTCAAGAAAAAAGAGTCGATGAACTTAATCCACTTTGCCAAAAACAGAGCTCCCAATATCTCTAGAAAACCCATATTGATCAATAAATTTACTCCTCAGCAATAAAGATGTGCATATACAAAGAAACAAGGGAACGTAACATTTCTAGCCGATGAATCAGCTGCCTCCATGCAGATGTATTAATGACCGGTATGGTTGACCTTCACATATGTATAGATAAAATGCATTTATGCAAGAATTTTCTTGTTCTGTCAAGAACCATCCTTTCACAGCACAAGATTCAAATAAACAAAAGTACCCATCAACTCTTCTAAGAATCCATGCATAAGAATAGAATCAAATAAAAAGTTTCTATCACAAACCTAAGGTGGCTTCTAGTCCAACGTGGAAATTTGATGCTTGAGATGCTTTCAAAGTGTATGCCTTGAGAGCATCATCCCAGCGCTGCAGCTTCTCATACCTAGAAACGGATATTTGTACTGTTCACCCCCATTTATTAAAATTGAAGAAACTATGACTGTATTCCATTTCATACAGAACTGAAATAGATATATCTGCAAAAAAAATTGTTACCATGATTCTTTTAATTGCACATCAAGATGTTGTTGTGCATAAGTCAGTATGCCAACAGCAGCCTAAAGCAACAAAATCTCCACCAATCAATCATCATACATGAACAGAATCACAATAAATAAAGAAATAAAGAAAAACTATTAAAAAAATAAAACGAAGTTAACCTCATGTTGGTGTAACTGATTATTTATGTGTATAAGAGCCTCAACAACAGCGACTGGATTAGCATCCATTTGCCTGGTGCGTGCACCTTCAAATTCCATCTCCTTATAATGCAAAGCTTTTGCAAAAGCACGGCACTGGAAAGTAAGAAATCAGACTGTTAATGATACCATAGGATGAAAGCTTAATGTGAAAGTTACAAAAGAGTACAATCTTTAGTTTGATCAGGGTAGTACTGATGATACACCTTTTCAGCAAGAGCCCCGAGGAGACGAATATCAATTGGAAGAGGCTTCTCATCATGTTCCATGAACTCTGCCTGAGAAGATAATCACAAAATTTAATCACAGGTAATAGAGCCAATAGATGGGCTCATTCATCCCATAAATGCACTTGCCCTATAAATCCAACGTTCTCAATCTTTAAAAGCTCAAGTAAATGACGCTTCAGAAGGATTTTGAATCAAGTGGTTCACTGGATAAGAAAATTTCTAGATGATAGCTTAATGGCTTCACTAACAAAAAACGCAATTCACACTAATCTGATAGAAACAACAACATCGAGGATAGTTAAAGAAATGAAAAGCTAAACAGATTCCCAGAACCTCCCACAATGTATTCAAAACAGAATAATGTACAATCTCTGAGATGCAATCATCAAAGGTTAAACAATGGCATTTCAATAAGCACCACATACTTCAAGGAAGCTGGCTATATTTCTAGCCTGTGACCAATTATTTGGGTCCACAACTTAAACAATTTCTCCTCTCCTGTTTTTAAGTACTCATATAATTTGAAGAACGTACCAAATTGAGAAGTGTAGCCAAAATTTCAGGGGGTATATTTGGAGAAGAGAAGGCCATCTCTAAACTCCTCACTAACTGCTTTTGACTAGCCTCATTTAGTTGTGACCAACAGCTGACAAAGCCGGCGGCAAACAACTCCCTCCCAACAAATGGCTGCAAAACATAATTATTAAGATCCATATTCCTATAGGAGAATTAGAAAGAGCACAGATGGCATACCTGTAATTGTGCAAGTCTTGCACAAGTTCTTAATGCTGGAGAAGGAGATTCCTTGAGTAATTCAATACTAAAATGTCTCATCCACTCAGCCCAATCTTCCTTGGTGCTGCGCTGAGAAGCTTCTCCAGCAGTTCGCAGTCTACAATCATTAACCTACAGAAAGCATTATCAAAGCCATAAATCACTTTGTTAGCTCTCCCCAGAGAGAAAACATGAATACAACATAAAACAAAGGATAGGAACAGTCTTTCTGTTAATTATGATTTGCCATGTTACCCCTTTCTCCTCAATATTTTTACAAAGCTGTTAGAATTAACTTTAGAAGTTAAAGTTACTCAAAAACTAATAATAGAATGCAAAGAATAATGAAATTTGCTACATATAAACATGGCACACAATATTGAAGACATAATATATTATTAAGTGTAAAGCTAGAATAACAACTCTGTTAAAAATAATAACATTTATCACAATGAATACATTCGCTCTAAAGTTATTTTCCGGTCATAAAATTTTTTGAGACAACTATCTTTAGCACATTGAAAATCAAATATCGAGATATAAACACAAACATTAACAAGCTCTTATAGAAGAAAAACAAAAAGTTAAAACCTCTAATTTGAAAATCAGTAACTTACTTTTGGCAGTATCATCAAAACATCTCAGAACTAATTAAGCCACTACTATGACATCATAGAATTTTCTTGTGATTTGAACTACAACCTATTTTTTGTTCTAAGATTATCAAAGGTGTTGTCCATAACCAAATGTGAGTTTAGAAATATAATTATTTTGCATAGCCTCCCAGAAAGTAATCCAAAATAAATTGTTGGAGTCAGCTTATTTTGGTCAGTATAAAGCTCAAACCATATTCAGCTATTCCACCCCACATTAGAAAATCATCCGGAAGGATTTCTCTCCTTCAAACAAGAGCTTATACCATTGAAGGGAAGACACAGAAACAACATAAACATTACCTTTAAAAAACGGAACAGGAAACTCAGTAACAAAATGCAAACACATAATGCATGTGTTCATACATACATGACAAAACACGTATAGAGTACCTGATGGCCTCTGTCATTTCCTTCTTCAAAAGGATCAATCTCCATCTCAATTACAGGATCACTTATAACCTCAACCGGCAGCCGCCGACTTAACCGCTGAGTTGCTGTACTAGCCAAGATCAAAGGTTCACGCCTACGTGATCGAGCTTGAATTTCCTCAAATTCTTTATGCTGCAAATTTAAAATAACAAACGAAGAAGAGTCATAAACAACAAAGTTTTACAAATTCACGGGGGTGTGTGTGTGCTGTGAGTTTAATGTAGAAGATAGCACAATGCAAGACCCGCAAGTGATGCTTCAATAAAAGCTTATGAATTGATTCAATGAATATGGTGAAGTCTTCTCCAAGAGCATGAGCCAAGCAGCATAGTGCATCAACAGCATCCTTCCGCAGCTCATCATTCTTCCTGAAATTAAAGGAGAGAATCACTCATTACCAGTGGCAAAACTAGATGATAAAAGATAGACAACTGCAAGAAACAGCTGAACCAATATACAACATAGGAAAGGAAAACACAGACAGATAATTCGAAATTCAAACAGAAAACTGCCCACAATCCCCTTACCTCGGAGAATAATAAGCATGAACTAAAAACAATGTCCAAGTCAATAGGAAAGAGCCAAAGAAATAATGTAATTTTATTTTTGTGCCAGCTAAATGCCATATTAGCATAAACCTGCCGATTAAATACTGAACTTTTCAATAATTGCCAATCGAGGACTTGAAACTAAAATGGACCTTTGGAACATATACTGATACACAATAGTGTACTTGAAAATTAATAATATTATGCCATTTTTGTTTCAAATTATCCAAGAAAAAGGCACTGGAGAAAGACCTTTGCTCAGAATACCAAAGGAAAAAAACTGATTCTTTTCTAGGTCACAGACAATGAAGATTGAAGCAGCATGTTGAGGCCAAAAAAAGTGATTCTCTTCAGTCGTATTAAAACAAAGGAAACTCACCCATCTAAAACTAGCTTCAAGTGATGCACAAGGGACGAAATATGACCAGTAACCTGAAGAGATATAGCAACATTTAAAAGGATGATCTTTCAAGGAACACAACATATGTAATATCTCCTGGATCAGTGAAATACCAGTAGAAATAAATATTACTCACAACTGAAAGTCCAAACCTGTTCAAACCACAGGATAAATGGCTACCCACCTGAACACAAGGGATTAGTCGTGTTAAAGTTTTAATAGCATCACGCCTGATAGCAATGGGAGCATCCACTTTAAACAACCGTATTAGTGCAGGAAGGAGTAATCGCATGTGCTCATCAAGAGTACCTGTACACTCTTGTGGTTAATTATCTGAGTAAAATGTTGGTAGGGATTTAAGAAACAAATATGTGGAGTAACACTTAAATCACTAGCATTCTTCATAGAACTAAAGTATACTTATGTTAATCAGAACCACTTGGTTAGTCACATGCTAGATGATATGCCAATGCTTAACGCTATCAGAAAATAACCATGATCTTCACCATGTAAAAATTTTGCATGGTAAATCTGTCAAACTGCCATACCCCGAAATTAATTTCAAATTGATTGTAAGGACCATAAGAGTTCACAGTAAGACAAATTTACTCACCGCCAAACACCTCAAGTGTGTGGAGAATATCAGGAACATAGGTGTAGTCATTAAACCGCTCAGCGTCACCCAATACTTGGATGAAACATGGAAGGATGTCAGGAAGGTAAGTTCTGAATTCATCATTGAGTGCTAAACAAAGCTGCTCTAGTAGATGCAGAACCTAATGATCAGTACGAAAGACAAATTACTCTATTAAGATACCTGCCATAAAACCAATGAGAAAAATCTACTGTGTATTCCCTAGACAACCAAATAACGTACCGGAAGACCATGAGAAGGCCGACCAGGACCTGGCAAATTGAAGGATGACCATAGTTCAGATACTAGTAAGAGCAGCTCAGGCAGATACTTGCGTATATGCTGTACAAGATTAGTTTTTTATTAGTTAAAACGTTACAGAAAGCTAGTGTTGTTCTGGGCATGACTGAAAATATCGAGACAGATATACCTGGCGTACGATGGAGACAAGAGTTCCAAGACTCCACGTGATAAAATCCTTCAAATTCTCATCAGAAGTGCGAACAGTGTGGAAAAGCTCAGGTAAAACCTTAACAAAGAGATGGACAAAATCCAACATGTTAGGAAAGTTTGAGAAATATGTTTTGTGCACAAAATATAAACAACAGTCCTAATGACCCTAGCGTTTCATCATTTTAGAAGAAAATAGATACCAATCTAGAAGAGAACAAAATTGATCAATCTCAGGTCTTATACGCCAAAGCTCACAATCCCATGCCATGTGACAGAAAATTAGTGTACAGGAAGGCTTGTCGGTTATTCAAAGTCAAGACAGCAAGAGATTTCGTCTAGAACAAAATATGAAAAACCCAGACTAATCTTTCTGGCATGCAAGCCTATTTTCATGATCAGATAGGAGAAAAGAAATACAGAGAGAAAGCACTATGACTATAAGCTGTCAAGAGTTCAAAATGCAATATACCAACCTTCGGCAAGTAGGGCACACACCCCAGTCCCATGGACTAACCTCGCAAAAAAAAAGAATAAAAGAAATTCATAATGGGTCATTGCATCTCCGTCACGAGATTATCCCAAAAATATATTGATAATCACATACCTTAAAAATGACCATCAGAGATCTAACAACCCGTTTGTGGTAACTAACAAGTGACGCATCTCTAAGAATACGCATAAGCGAGTTGATTGCAACCTATATAAATCAGAAAAAAAAAAAAGAATATGAGCAGAAGCCATACTTCAGAAGCAAGACATAAACACAGATTAAACTACCGTTGAGTAATAATCCTCCGATGTAACAAACGATGGCCAGAGGTCCACAGCTAACTCATCCATCGATTGAATATGTTGACCTGAATCACCAGTGCCACGTGTAACTTCTCCATGTGATTCTGATAAACTTATTTGGTTACGTTTGTGAACATGTGGATCCAAAGCACCCATAATTCCAAGAACCTGCAGATATAACCCACATCGTTAATGCAACCCTTATTCTCTTATAACGTAGCTTAGAATTTCTCCTGTTACAAGGTACCTTGAGCACTTCTCGTCTGGTAGACCACACCAACTCACCATTCAGCAATTTCAAGAGCAAGCCAAGTAACAGAGGGTATTCCTTGTAAGGAGTCACAACATACCTACACATGTAACTGAATTAGAACCATGCATAATTTGCACGAGAGAACTACAGTAAAACTTTGGATCAAGAGTTTTACTTGGATATTGTATTAAATCAGCACATTATAGCATGGATAAACCATGTCTTATGCTAAACATAACATGTAAGCTAATACACTCATAATGTACCATGATATCTGAAACCGCATTAACATTTTTTATACAGTCAACTAAACTCTAAGAACAATAATGAACTACATAATGATCGATCGAGGTTCCTTTTGCATGAAGAAGAGAGACTCAAGACAAGACATCAGAAGTTCAGATCCAGAAATATTAGTGTGATATTCTAATGCAATGCCAAAAGTAGTAGGCTGCATCATGAACAACGAACAAGAAACCATCACATATCTCTGTGGGTAAAACAGAAATCCGAGGACAACCATTTTGTGTTTCACTTTGTCTTCCATACTTTTGATACATGAGACAAATGATATATAATATAACACAGGGTAACAGCCTAAGGACAGCCCAGAATATATCACCTATTTCCATTTAATTGGACAATGATTTCATCAAACGGTCAAGTCGTGTTCCCTTGTGTTACTAGGAACTCAAATCCCTCAGTAAGACTTATCAAAGAATACAAGGATCAACTTCAAGTCTAGAGAGGACAAAAATCCATCACATACCCAGTACTTTGAACAACTTGACCAAGCGTAGAAACAGCCACCTCACGTTTTGCTGCAGCTGCTCCATCCATTAAAGCATCAACAATCAACGGCATAAGTTCAGGTATGTATTGTCTCATTGCTAAGCCACCCTGCAAACAAGGAATAAGAGAGAATTTTGGAATGTTTTAGGCCAAAAGACAGAAATACAATGGAAAGAAATAAAACTACCATCGGTGTATAATTGCAAAGATAGGAAAAACAAGAAACTAAATACGGGTTAGACCATTGGAAGAATCCACTCTGCATGCAAGAAAAGCACTACACCATGACCCATTATAAAGAAACTTGCTTAACAAATTGATGAGGAATGATATGTAGAATTACCAAATGTTAGAAATAATGTCACTTCTGGCTTCAGGAATTAAAACTCGCATATAATATTAAAAACTCCACATCTACACTAACAAAATAGAAATAATACGGAAAGGTGTAGTCACTCAGTTTCAGATACTGGAAAAACAGAACGCCTCCCTATAAACTTTCCCAAAAAAATATGCACAGTTCATAGAAGGTACGCCCCCAAGAGAGAAATTTTCTAAAGAATTCCTTCTCGGAAGAAGCTAGTTAACATCAGATTCAAGGTGAAGGGAAAATAAGCAGAGGGTCTGGAGAGGAATAAAACTGGGTTTACGCTTCCTAACACCCATACAACCCAAAAAGGAAAGGAATGGAAAGGCAACTCTTGGCTCTATCACTACCATAAGCAAAAGAATGGCTAGTATTTGTACCAATTATCATAATCCTGAAAGAAGGGTACATCCCTGAGCTAACTCTGTTGACACAACTCAACACTTGGTGAAAGAAAATACTTAATTTCAACACAAACTTTGGTATATGGAATAATGATTCCAGATCTGAGATGCAAACACCCATATGGCTACAACTCGAGGAGGAAGAGACCAATTAACAGTCAGCTCAACATAAAAATCAAGCAAAAAAAGACAACAGGTATGAGAAAACAGCCGAAAGATACTTGACTGCAAACTTACCACTCTAGCAAGATCTCCAACGGTTACAAGGACTCCACTAACAATGCTATTGTTAGCATTCACCCCAGTGCCCTCATGAAGTCTTGCGACAAGTGCCTAAAATCAGAGTTTCACATAAAGACCAATGATAATACAGTTGTCGAATCCATGATGTGTACACAAGTATGAATCAAACCTTTTGCACAGGTGCTATGTATGGGACAACAAGCCTTTCACAATTTCTAACTAAACAGCCAAGGAGCTTTGCACTCTCTTCTCTACCCTTATTATCTGCACTGCTGATATTACAATCAAAGTCAACATATTATATACCTAACAAAAAGAACAAATATTGTTATATAAACAAATGAAAACATTTAATTACCTCTGCTCCAGATATGTTAGCAATTGTATGAGATGACGACGAAGTGCTGGAAGAACATAGGCCGGATTCTTTTCAGATAACCTCCCAGCAAGGGAGATGGCATACTCTCGAACATCAAGATCCTGTTTCACAAAATTATAAGCTTTCACGGTTGAAACATAAAAAGCATAGCAAAAAAGATATTCTATACCTGCACTACCAAATGGACAAAATGTGTCAAAAGCAAGGCCCTTTTTATTCTATTTATATCTTCAATGCTAAGTGCAAAAACTGTTATATCAGTTTCTTCATACTTGGGTAATCCAGGACGAAATTGCAACCATTAGCCAAGTCAGATAAAGTTACCACATGGAGCTAAAAATAACAGAAACATTTGATTAGTTAACAAGCACGTTTTTCATATGAATGTGGAACAGCCACCATCAAAAAGCAATCTCATGCACAGCACATTCATTCAAGTAAGTCTACACTGTAGTTCCTCAATGTAACTGAATCAGGACCAAAAAAACTGAATAATGAAAATAAACATTACTTCGCGACACAGAGCAAGCGAGGAAGTTGAGGGAAGGTCACCCTAAATGAGAACTCAGTAAAAGCTATCTTTCAGTATTCAGAAGCTTGGTCGAGAAAAAGTAAGTGTTCTACGAGCAACTTAAACAAAAACAACGAGACAGAACTTAAAGCAATGCAAATACAACAATTTCATAAACAAATAGCAAGTAATCCACACATACATGATACCGAAGAGACCTACCAAACACTCAAGGGAAAAAAGATCTAATAATGTGCCAATGGCTGAGCCCAAAACATTGAACAGTTAGAAGATTAATACACAAAAAACATAACTAACTATAATGAATTATTAAACAGTTACCATTAGTCTTCCCAGAATACAAATGTTTTCATGTGACAAACTAGCTAATGTAATCTTCTGCTTAATAAGCCGGTAAAGAGTATTCACAAGTAATACAACCAACAGAGTTTGTCCAAATCACAATTGAAACATGATATTTATACTTCTATTCTTGTCAAGCACATAACATAATCATACCTCATCATTCAGAGAAGCAAAAATGGCAGTCAGGCTATCAGCTTGTGCTAGATAATCATCGAAACATAGGTTTCCATGTAAAGCAGTGAAGATCGACTTGCGAACAGTAACATCAGCATCTGCAACAGCTGTCCTGAGAAGCTTTTCCATGAGCTGCAGAAATGCAAACATCACTTAACATGCAAGCACAAGCACAACAGGCTGGAAGCTAGGCTTGCATTGCAATTATTTATGTCATCAAGAAGTACTTTTAGCAGATTAGTTCAATAAAACATATGAATATACACAGTCAAAGAAAGATAAAATGCATTTTCTATAAACAGCCAAAGCAAACACTATAAGAGCAGCAAAAGAACAAAAAGTATGGGATTTGAATATATAGAGAGTCCCAAACCTCCTCAACAAGACGCCTTCGTCTTCCTCCAGCTCGTGTCGATCTGCTAGAACCAAACTGCAAGATGCCAGATAAAGAATTTACAATTATCCTGCAACAACAGAGGGCAGCATCTTTTCTTGTGGTTCCATCCTCATCATCCAAATAATTAACAACTGACTCCCGCGCAAACTCAAGAAGATCGTGACCCTGCAAGAGGAGACAAGGTTAGGACAAATTTTATATTTTGTGGAAACTACATAAGCTAAGAGGGCAAACCTTGAAATTGAACCGAGCAAGAGTCTGCAGGGCAAGTTGAACTTGAGCAGAACCACTAAGCTCAGAGAACTGGGGTGCGACATTAACCGCAGTTCCACGGATCAAGGTTACCGGAGGCTTTGTCTGAGAGTAATGAGATTTAGAAAGAACTAACGAAATGCAATCTAGAAGCCGATCTTGGACAGTGGGCAGCAGAGAAGGAATGCTGTAAACCAAAAGAAAAGTCAATCACTAAAAGTTCTTGGCAGCATAAAAGAGCAAGTCATATAAAAAATCATTTCATTGTTCTACATACCTGATGGTTATTTGCTCAAGTGCCTCAACTAGCGTAGGAGAAAGACTAGAGGAAAACATAGCATCTAGAAGATCGCGAACATGAGGTTCCATCGTGGACCCCATTGCCTTTGCAATGTTACCAACACAAGCCAAAGCTTCAAGCAAAGGTCTACCTCTACGTGGAGCAATCTACAAGGCATAAATATAACCATAAAAGCGAAATTAATTGTCTAGTTCCATACAATAGAAAAAAGATCCAAAAAGAAAAACATACAAAGTAATAAAAGAGACCAAATATCTCAGTTGACCCACCGCATCACGCAAATGAGACATAATTGTCGGCAAATAGTGGATAAGCTCCCCATCCAAAGCACCAGCCATCTCCCCAAGGGCAATAAACCCACTGGAACGTTCAGCTGGTATTCTTAACACTGTGAGAATGTGATTCATGCATATCTGCAAAAAGCAAGTCAAGTCATAATAAACACAAAAACATATAAATTTGCTTCCAATAAACTTCCAATTACCGTTAAATAGTTTGTTACAAAGCGATCACGAAGGAAATGAGCAATCCGAGGCAGCAACGAGGTAATGCTAAGGCGAACAAGGCGGTCACGATGTTCGAGGTACCTAAGGACAATCTCCGCAACTTCCCTATACCTTGACATCATAAATTCCCCTGTATTCCTGTAGCGAGAAATCCAAATTGCAAGTCATCAAATCACTTGATATAACATTTTTTATTAAAAAAAATTGGAATGACAAGCATTTGTGCAATCTGATTCCAGAATTGATAAGCGAAACCGATGTTATTTATGCTTAGAGATGCATGTACCATTTATTTAGCACATAACGAGCGTGAAGGAAGGTGAATGAATTCGTCTAGTCACAACGAGAAGATTGGAAAAAGGATAACAACAATCTCAGAATTCCTGGCTCTGAAATAATAAAAGAGGATGCTTTAAAGACTATGAAACCACTTCTACACTCACCTCAGCAGCTCCCCCACAGCAAGCAGGGAACCATGGATACTATGCACAGGAGCATTTCTGCCCAACCCATCTTGTGTAGCTTCAAACATGCGATAATACCTGCAAACAAAATGCAAAGAACTAACTCAAATAAATAGCACAAGAAAATAAGGACGGAGAACAATATCCGATAAATCAAGGATATAATGCAAATGAATATGAATGTTAATCTGTTATGAGGTCCTCAAAACAGAACCAGAATAATCCAGTTTCATCCAGACTCCAAAATCATTAACAAACCTCGAAAAGCAGGACAAACCAGCAACATAGGGTCAGTTACATTTCCTAATCACTCCTTATATTCACCTAATATGATTGTGTAATTTCAGCTCCCAAAATTATTTTACCCTTGGAAGGAAATCTGAAGTCCCATTGTCGAATCTTGCCCACTACCTAGGATATTGCAACAAAGAAAGGCCTTAAATTCCCATTAGGTAATAGGGACCATAGAGGTGACATGAGATGACCACAACAGAGCTGCACTATAAATAAAGGTGAAACCATATAACAGGATTGCAATGATGGTATAGCAAAGATACAGCCTATATAAAAATATCGTACCAAACACACCTTTGTCTTAAATTTACCACATTACAACCTTTAGGACACGTTTTACTTTCAGTAAAATTTTACTAACCATTGGACTCGCCAACGAGTCTCCCTTTTCTCAATAACACGTAGGCAAGCACGCAAAGCCTCAACAGCTCGTTCTCGCACTTGCAACTGTGGATCTCTGAGCGCAACCCAGATTGCGTCCACAAATTCAGGGACATGGACATTAAAGACAGTGGAAGCATTTTCTGCCATTTCCTGCAGCAGTATGAAAGAAAATAGCCATTCCCGATTTAATTCAAGATCAATAACTAACACCCTATACAATGTACTTAAGTTTTGGTCCAAAAAAATTAGCTATCGTCCAGTACACAGAAGAGAAGAGGACAGTATGATTTGATTACCTACGATGAATTCAACGGATAGGAGTGCATAGAAACCTTAAAATCAGTTTTACCTTTAGAATCAAAACAGCAGCAAAACGACGATATTCCACTCTCTCTCCACGAAGCCAATCAAGAGCTGTTTTTATCTGGATAACAATATCAGGGCACATGAGCAACTACACACTGATACTAGGGGAAAAACATCAAATCACAACCTGAAACTCCACTTCATCTGAAGTCATTGCTCCACCTGCCCGTGCAAGATGTCCCAAAACTCTACTAGCAAGCAGCAAGATTTCTGGGTCTCGTTTCAATTCGAACACAGCCCTCATGTAACTTGCAAACTTAGAAACCTTTGTAGCATTCTCACCGAATCCAACCTCTGTTAACTCGTCAATGGCTCTGAGTGCCCCCATGTTTTCACCCACATCCGTGCTCTCAATCAAACTAGAGACTCTGTCGTATAATTGCTCCATGAACCTAGAGAAGGCTTCTCCATTAAGATCGCGGGCTGCTTCCTCTACGTGTTTCCTAAACGCTAAAGCAGCTCCTTCCTATTATAACAACAAAACCACAGAAAACCCAACAAATTCACATAATGTGGGAACACAAAGCAGTTTCAAATCCAAAAAACCCGAATCCTAGAGCTGCAAAAACGCTAAATCCAATAACAAGAACAGACAAACGCCTTCCCGTCAACCAAAAGCAAAAAACTTTTCCCGGCTTTCTACTCACCCACGATTTCATACTGTGAAAAACACCAAAAGACAGAGAAATTCGAAGTGCCCTTCAATTACCTTAGGATTGCCGCGTGTGCAGAGGTCGGAAATGACACGGTTCAAAGTATCGAAGCTTCCGCCACCGGTCGCGGTGGTTGCAGGCCCACCGAATCGGTGCGACTGCGACGTGGAAGCCATCGTTGTCCCCAAAAACTGCAAGAACTCTCAAATACCCTAAATCTGACCCTATTCCGGGGGTCGGAGGAGATAGAGCGGGAGAGAGAGTATGTACAGACGAGAAGATGTTCTCTCTCAACTCATCGTGTGTGACAGCGAGCGAGAGAGAGAGAGAGAGGACCGACAAAATTCGACGATCGCTGGAGAAAATAGGTCTTTTCTTGTTTTCTTGGTTTCTTGGGTTTTTTTTTCTCAAGTGTGTTTTTGTAGATTTCAAGAAGAAGCCTTTTGGCTAAAGATGCAGAATCTGGAAAACCGTAGGTTAAATACTTTTAGGGCGAAATTCTGAAGTGCCATTTTTTAATAAAATAAAATAGCTAAACTGTTATCATTAAATTTTCAAATTATCATTTTTATCATTCGAGTCAAATAGATTTAAAAAAAAAAGACATGTCCTAAAATTGAAAAAATATGAAACATTAAATACTACAAAAGAAACTCTAACATAAGGGTACAAAATACTATCTGTTTAGTTTGATCGTTAAAAACATAATCTTTTAAGATATTTCTTATATGTTTAAGATGTTCGAAAATCTTATATTTTCTGTCTAAATATTAATATTATCGTCCGAAAAATTGCTGAATATTACAAATATATATATATATATAATTGCTAAATCTTTTAATCTTAGATTTCGATATTCACATTAATATGTGTGTCTTTTGTTTAACAAAATCATAATTTACTTTTTTATAAATACCCATCTATCGGTAACTTAAACAATATTGTCTTTTAATTTTAGATTTTTTATATTAATGGAAAGCACGATTAAAACTTAAAACCTTCAATCTCGATATTTACTAAAAATAATGTAAACAAGCAAAAAAATATTGCTGTTGTCTATCAACTCTCCCATCTATAAACTACTTAAAACAGTAATCTTATTCAAACTTCGGTCCTAACATGTTGTATTGTAAACCGTATGTATGTATAAAAAATACGTATAAATCTACGTTAGATCATATAAAATACTATAACGATATTATATCATCCTTATGTGTCACACACTTGTTTTGGTTTATTCAAGACTTGTTCTTGTCCTAAGTGATTATTCCTTCAAGTATATGGAATTATTTATCACCGGTTGAAACTTTTATGAATATCGAATATATTAAATGTGCATCGATCCAACTTTATAAGTAGGGTTGGGCGTTTCGGTTCGGTTCTTCGGAATCGGACCGAACCGAACCGTTAAAACGATATTTTTTCCGACCCGAAACCACTGTTATTTACCGAACGGTATCATTTTTAGAGAACCGAATTTTCTCGAAACCGAACCGAACTTTAAAAATCCTGAAAACCCGAATATTTTTAAAGGAAATCTAATATTTTTTAATAAAATCTGGAACCGAACCGAACCAATAACGAAACCGAACCGAACCGAATACAATAAAAGCCCCGATTGGTACCAATTTTTATAAAACCGAAAGAACCGAACCGATCTATTCTGTCCCGAACCCGAACCGTTTCCTACCCCTATCTATAAGTCATCAAATACAAATATTGTTCATCCTCTTAACTTCAAAATAAGAGCTTCGGCTACGTTGGTTGTCATTATATTATTGCCTAACTATATTATTAACTGAATGATAATTTTGTATAGTATCATAGATAGCTTAAGAACAACAACAACGTATGTACAGAGATGAAAAAACTCGGTTTTGGTTAGGGATGTCAATTTTGATCCAAACTCGAAATTCATCCCGAATTCACCCGAAAAATATCAAACTTCGAGTCTAAATATATCGACTAAAAAAAAATTAGATTTTCGGATCAGATTCAAATCTGCTCTCATATCGATACGAAAGTCTGTTTTTGTAATACAAAAAATTTAAAAAAATTAATTTACAAAGGACGGATGGGCCTCATCCAACTCTATTAGGCCCGAAGCATGTAAAATTGGGATTCGGCCTTGATTATTTAGCCCTGAAAAATTCAGGTCAGTCCGAACCCGAAACCTCGGACCGAGTGGAGGTTTGGCTCGCACCGACCCGAGTGGCATCTCTAGTTTTAACTCTTATGGTTAATTTAAAAAAAAAATTGAAAAATTATTTACAAGAATAGTTTTGTATATATATATATTTTTGGTGGCAGGGCTTATATTCACAGTACATATTATATCTTTAAACATTGATTTTAAAATTTTAACGCGGAAAGTATAATAATATAAATTAAAAAACACAGATGTTGTCTCGTAGTATTTTTACCAAAAAATATCCATGTATAAATAGATTCATGTACATTAAAAAAATTGTGTATTAAATATACGATATCCATTTTAGGAAAAATGTTATAAAATATTTTGAAAAAAAAATAGTGGCATGCAACATAGTGCAGAAAATTTGAGTTTTCGATAGTTTCAAACAAAAAATATTTATTTATTTATTAAATTACAAGGTGATATTATATTGTCTATATAATGAACCGAATTACGTATAGATAAATTGATAAGATATATTCGGTTACCTTGACAATAAAACGATGAGATAAACATGAATGAGAAGGAGATAGAGAATAACACCATGGATTTTCTCTTACAAGCATACATGTGACAGATCGTACGACAACTCATGGTTCATTGTAACAACTCAGAAGATAAAATCACACTTCATCATAATCAACTTGTTTCCTTCTATTCACAAATGATACAGATTTTAAATTTTTCCTATCTGGTAAGAACTAAATTTATTTGCAAAAACAGAATAAACTTCCTCATTAATGTAATATATCTATATATTCACAACTCAAGAACATTAAATATAAATTTGCAATTTTCACTTATAAATACCAACGAAATTTTGATATCATTTTCATCCATTTCCATTGCATTCTCTGTGTCTTGTGTTTGCAATTCCATTTATAAATACCCATTGATTTTTTTTTTCGTTGTCGTCCTCAATTCTCATATTTCACCTTCTTCTTCATCTTCTCTAAACATGGTGAGAAAGAGTAAGGGTCGCCAAAAGATAGAGATGGTTAAGATGAACAATGAGAGCAATCTCCAGGTCACTTTCTCGAAGAGAAGGTCTGGTCTTTTCAAGAAAGCCAGTGAACTCTGTACTCTTTGTGGTGCCGAGGTGGCGATCATTGTGTTTTCTCCTGGTCGGAAAGTGTTCTCGTTCGGCCATCCTTGTGTCGAAACCATCATCGACCGTTTCATGAACCGTGGCCCTCCCCTTCACAAGCAAAACAATACCACCATGCAACTCATCGAGGCCCATCGTAACGCCACCGTTCGAGATCTCAACAACCAGCTTAGTCAGGTCAATTTTACCATATATACATCTATATATATTTATGTATATATATATGTGTACATACCTTTATATATATATGTATGAGTATGTACGTGGATGTGTGACTGTGTATATATGGGTATACTTGTGTGTATGTTTCCAAGCGTTATATGTATGTATATATACTATTTGTTTTACATAGTATATAAAGATCTATAAGATATTATATCTCCAAATATTCAATGCAGATATTATTATAAGAAAAATCATTACATTTTACATAACAAATGAAATTAAAAAAATGTTTTAGGTGATGGGACAACTCGAGATGGAGAAGAAAAGAGGAGAAGAACTAAGTCAGATAAGAAAATCCAACAGGAATCCGAACAACTGGTGGGAATCTCCTCCCCAAGAGCTGAACCTCAACCAGCTGACCCAACTCAAGAAATCGCTCGACGATCTGAAGAAAATCGTCGCCTCTCACGCCTCCAAGCTCCTTCAATCGACCGTCCCTCCTTCTGCCAATTTCTATGTCGGAAACCATTCTAACAACAGCGGCGGCAGTAGTTCTCATAATCTCAATCTGTTTGGTCACCACCAGAGAAGAGATCATGTCGGAACAGGAAGAGCACCCATCATCAACAACAACATGAATCCTCCTCCTAATGTTTATGGATATGGCAGCGTTCAAGGGTTTAAGCAAGAAGAGACTAGCTCAGGTTATGAGCCACAATACAATCCCGGTCATGGTCCTAATTTTGGATCTGATGCTAATGCTCCCTATTAATTAAGACCTTGTCATACACCCAACTTGATTGCTCAACCGGTGAAATGGAGACGCAAAACGTCTATCGCATCCGAAATTCAAGCCTCAAGTTGGAGAATGAGATCGCACATGACTTGTTTCCGTCCCGGGATTAATCTGAACTTCGATCCAAAATATCCAATTATCTAAAATAAAAAAACATTGTCTAGTTGTTGTCTTTTGTAATATTTGGAACAAGTTTTATATGTAATCTGATATATTTTATATCGAATTAAGCATAATAAAAAAATTTGGTAAGCCAATTTAATTTAAGGGAAAAAAAGATTTATAAAAATAATTTTTTATTTTATCCTTTTTTCTGCAGTATAATAATGGCATGGAACCAAAATATTTATTAAATTTTACTGAGCAAATTAATTTGAATAAAGAATTTCTCAAAATAATCAGTTTGTTTTTTGTTTTTATCAATATACTGATAAACTAATACTTTATACGATGTTCCTTTTGCAATGCTTATATATATATATATATATTCTATTATTTTTTTATTTAATTAAACATAACAAAAACGGTATACAAAAAATTAATGGAAAGAAAAAAAATTATAAAATAATTGTATTTTTTTTCTATTATCTTTCTGTTGTAATTTCTCAATAAACATGAATGGGTGGGAATTGCGATATTTATGAAAATTATAATATAAATTAAATTTACATAAATAAAATACTAAAATAATCATTTTTATTTTTCAATAGAATAATATTATATAACCAAGATATTTATGAAAAATCATTAAAAAAAATATATAGATAAAATATCTCAATCAAGTAGGGCCTGAAGAAAAAGGACCCAAAAGGCCGTGACCCACGTGAGAAGAAACTATTAAGCCCATAACCGACGGCGATTCGAAATGCATGAGATTCTGGTTGAAAAGACCAAATTACCCTCATTTTTTAAAAAAATTACAATGTATGTACAAACAAATACGTGGGAAATCTAGTTCAAAATTTGTCTGTATTACGTCGGTCTCTTTTGATAACGGTAGCCGACCACCCTTAACATAGAATCCACCCCGAGTTCTATTAGAAACATTATTGCCAAAATTTATATAATTCTGCATAACATTCTATCAATTGTTTCTCATTCTTGGATTGTAGCATCCATGAGAAGATTTGCTAAAACATACAATCCGAATATAATTTGTTTTAAGAATATTATGGATATAATTCCATAATAGATAACTCTAACTCTTCATAATTTTTAATAAAGAACGTAAACAAATAACCGCTATGTATTTTTTTACTATCATATATGAATTTTCAAATCTTTGAACTACGTAAAACAATAACATAATTCAAACATAACGGTATTATTACGAATGGTCCAAATCATTTGTAGTATTTATGTCAAATGGATCATCTTCATCGATTTGATCATAATGATCGATATGATCTGCATGATCAATGTGTCATATGTATTATCTATGTCATGTGCATTACCTAATATGTATCACGATCGATATGACATGATCGACATGTGTCATGTGTATGTATGATCTGTCATTTTATGTTATCTTCATCGACTTGATCATAATATAATCGATATCATGATGATCGATACGATCGACATGATCGATGTGTCATATGTATTATCTATGTCATGTGCATTACCTAATCTGTATCACGATCGATATGACATGATCGACATGTGTCATGTGTATGTATGATATGTCATTTTATGTTATCTTCATCGACTTGATCATAATATAATCGATATCATCGATACGATCGACATGATCGATATGTCATCTATATTTTCTATGCCATATATGTCATGCATGATCAATATGAATATTCTTCGTGTTGCCATTAACATCATGCTCATTCGGTCTTGATCTTACACTACTTACTATCATTTCATTTCCCTATCTATCATTTCACCATCACGGTTATACGCAATAACAAATAAAGGTGTATTGATATTCATAACCTAAATCTACGAAATATTTGTTCATTGAATTCCTAAAAATATATACTTTTTGAATTACATTTTTTGACGAGTTTTTGCACTGTTATATTATGATTATATTTTTAAAACGTGAATTGTAATTATGATTTAGCATTACAAAAAGCTCATGTATAGTGAAAAATCTCAACTAGTGATATATATATATATATATATATATATATATATTGTGTTACGATTTAAACAAATTCAAAAGAGAATTAAAAAAAGTAGATATCTAAATATTTTTATAGTGACATGGATTATATTCATATTGGATATTATATATTCAAATATTGAGTTTTAATTTTAATTCGAAATTCCACTGTACGTACAAATCATCTATATATCCATTTATAAACTAATATAAATTTAAAAAAGCGTAGATATTGTCCATAGTATTTGCAAAACTTTTCTATATATAAAATATTTTACGTACATTTTATTAAATATACGACATTGTACTACTAGTTTCAAACGAAATATATTTATTTATTAAGTCACAGCGTGTTAATTGTATATTTGGTATAAATATCCGAATTATATATAGAAAAATTGACAAGATATTTTCAGTTTCTTGACAATATATGATAAGGTTAACTTTAATGAAAAAAAGTAAGATGGAGAATATCGCTGGCGAAGGATTAATGTTAATATCGTGCACAAAATAAAATTTCAACAACTAAAAAAGATAAAATCACATTAAAATCATAATAAAAAATTTTCCTTTTATTCACAAATGATAAAGATTTCGAAATTTTCCAAACTGGTAAAACAACTTGTTTTAACAAATATAAAGTAAATTGCCACATTAACTTCATCATTAATATATATGTATTATACAACTCAAAAACATTAATTATATCTTTGAAATACCAACAAAGATTTTGATACCCTTATCACCCATTCGCATTTGGGTTTCTTTTCCTTTATTTCCCCACCTATAAATACCACGTGAGCCTCCGCATCGTTTTCATCCTCAACTCTCATATTTCACCATCTCCTTCTTCTTCTTCATTTTCTCTCTTGCTAATGTGTAGGGCGAGAAAGAGCAAGGGCCGTAGAAAGATAGAGATGGTGAAGATGAACAACGAGAGCAATCTTCAGGTCACCTTCTCGAAGAGAAGACATGGTCTTTTCAAAAAAGCCAGTGAACTCTGCACCATGTGCGGCGCCGAGGTGGCTATCATCGTGTTTTCTCCCGGTCGGAAAGCGTTCTCCTTCGGCCATCCTTGTGTCGACACTGTCGTCGATCGTTTCATGAGCGGTCGCCCTCACCTTCCTAACCGAAACTCCCCCACCATGCAACTCATCGAGGCCCATCGCAACGCCACCATTCGGGACCTCAACAACGAGCTTAGTCAGGTCAATTATATATGTATATATATATGTGTGTGTGTGAGCAAGTAAATGTACTATATGTACATGTGGGTATGTGTGTGTATATATATGTATACGAGTATAAACATATATGTGGCTATGCGTAGGTATATATATGTGTATGTGTCCAAGCGTCAGACAAGATTCAATTTTGTTTCATTAAAAACGAAATTTAACGGATGAGAAAATGTTGTAGGTGCTGGACCAGCTCGAAATTGAGAAGAAAAGAGGGCAACAGCTGAGCCGGATAAGGGAATCCAACAGGAATCCGGCCAACTGGTGGGAATCACCTCCCGAAGAGCTTGACCTCGAACAGCTGACTCAACTCAAGCAGGCACTCGACGACCTGAAGAAGACGGTCGCCTGTCATGCCTCCGAGCTCATCCACCCGACCGCCCCTCCTCCCCCGGCCAATTTCTATGTCGGAAACCATTCCAACAGCAACAACGGCGCCGGCGGTTCTCATGAACTGGATCTGTTTCATCAGGGGAGAGATGTCGGAACGGGAAGCGTACCCATCAACAACAACAGCAACATGAACCCTCCTCCTGAGGTGGCTGCGCCTTATGGGTACGGCGTTCAAGGGTTTAAACATGAAGAGGGCGGTTCAGGCTTGGCCCTGATTGTGGATTTGATCTTCCTCCCTTTTAAGGCTTCGGCATGCTGTTTCCTTTATTTTATTGTGCTTTGAATAAGTCATATACATATATATAGGTATATATATGTGTGTGTATGTGTTTTCTCTGTTATGTTTTGTATCATTTCAAGCATAAATAAAAATTGGTAAAGCCAATTTAATTTAAGGGAAAGAAGTTTATAAATCATTGTTTTGTCTCTCGTTTTTGGTTGCAGTACGCTCATGGTATGGAGGCAAAATATTTATGAAAATTTGCTAAAATCAATTTAATTTGAGCAAAGAAATTCATAAAATAGTCGTTCTATTTTTATTTATTTTCTTTTTATCTATAAACTAATATTTTATATGTTGTTTCTCTTGTAACGCTTGAACTAAGTTAAATATATTCTTCGGCATATTTTTATTTAATTTAATGATAAAAACCGGTGTAGCATTTTTTTATTTCAAGGCAAAATAATTATAAAATAATGATAGTTTTTGCCCTTTTTTTAAATCATCACCTGTTTCTCAATACACTAAGGACACGTGGCCAAAATTCTATGAAAAATTATAAGACCAATTTAATTCAAAGGGAAATTATTTACGAAAAATGATAAAAATATGTCATCGAAGTTTAGGGGCGTCTCTCCTCGCTTCTTCCAGCTGCGTGACAACGGGAGACGCTCACCGCTCCGGCGGCTGATACATCAGTCAGGCTGTCGTTTCAGTCGAGCAACTACTCCCTCTCAAGTAAGATTCTATGATTCTTCCCTTTTCAGTTGAAATTCATTCGATTCAAAAAGTTCAATGCCCTAACGAGGTTAGGGAAATTCGGCCGCGGTCTGAGCGGTACCACCCACCCTACCCTACCGCCATTAGGCGGCCTGCAGTGATCTTGAATCGGAAAATCCTGCAGCGATAGATAGAATCCCCATCGAAATACCACTAGCTAGATCGTGCGTTCTCGGGAGAAATTTGATCTCTTCAAGTAGAACAGATCGGGAAGAAAGAGTGTGAGGTTGGGTCGGATGGGAAATGATTTAGAAATTCTTCCTCTTTGTCCAATGCATGTAGGACGTCTGAGGAAGAGAAGTGGTTGCATATAGTTGAAGGGCACCAGCCCAAGGACAAGACTTTTGACAGTTGGAGGGTGCCCTTTTTCTCTGTGTTTCAAATGTTCTCAATGCATGTTGAAGAATGAGCGGATGAGGCCGGAGCCGTACCGAAAGCGAGTCTTCGTAGGGTTAGACCGCAGGCAAAGCCGGAAGTGTTTACATTTGTACTCCAACAGGTTTGCTAACTCCTAGGATGAGAAGTAGGTCTTTTGTTTTTGGCAGGAATAGTTCCAGCCTTTGTTTCTTGCCCTTTGTCCTTGAGGCTCTCTCCCAAAGGTAAGTGGGAAATAAATGGAGGATGGAGCTGACCGATATTGAACATTTATAGGCTTCGGCCCCATAAATAGAAACTCGTAAAACATTAGCATAAATGGAGATTTTAGGTGCAATAGAAAGGAATGCTGTAACCGGGTCATCTAGGGCAAAGAGGTTGTACGTACAGATATGAAACGTCGAGTTATCCAAGACTCTAGATAACCTGGAGCCAAGACCAATCGCGAAGACTGAAGAGGTTTTTCTTCTTCAATAGATTATCCAGATAGTGATAAGTACCTCCTCTTGTTCTTCTCCATGGAGCTTCTTCTGTGAAAGTGATAGATGTATGGGTTATGAACCTGGGCTATAGTTAGTATGGGTTGTTTTGGCTGTTAGTATTAGTTAGTTAGTAGTTGCGGCAATGAATAGTTATAAATACAGATTAGGTAGAGGAGAAAGGGATCGGAGAAAAGTTTGAGAAAGGGTTAGGGTTTGTTTGGGGAATGAGAGGATGGGATCCTCTCATAAATCAAGATCATCCAAAGTTGTATTCAGGTTTTCGGTGAGGAATAAAGGCTCGATTGGTGCTGAAAAGTTGAGTTTCAGATTCTGAACCTTAACAGAAAGCACGTATGATGAGGACAGGTTGACACATAAATTTGAACATTTATAGGTTTCGGCCCCATAAATAGAAACTCATAAAAAATATTAGCAGAAATAGAGATTTCAGGTGCATTAGAAAGGAATGTTGTAACTGCGGTTGTCTAGGGCAAAGAGGTTGTACGTATAGATATGAAACGTCGTGTTATCCAAGACTCTAGCTAACTCGGAGCCAAGATCAATCATGAAGAGGTTTTACTTCTTCAGTAGAATATCCGAATAGTGATAAGTACCCTCTCGTTCTTCCCGTAGTGAGCTTCTTCTGTGAAAGCACGTTCGATGAGGGCAGGTTCCCACATGTAAAATTGTAATTTTGAATTGATTGATCGGGGAAAGCTGGTTCCGTGGGCTGGAGCATGGCTTATCCTCTGTGTGACCCGGAACAGTATTGAAAGCGAGTCTACATAGGGTTAGACCAGAGGGAAAGTCAGAAGTGTTTTCATTTGCTATCTCCTAGGATGAGATGTAGGTCCTTTGTTTTTTGGCAGGAATAGTTCCAAACTTTGTTTCTTGCCCCTTGTTGCTGGAGGCTCTCTCCTAAAGGTAGGTGGGAAATAAATGGAGGATGAAGCTGTCAATATTGAAGATTTAGAGGTTTTGGCCCCATAAATAGAAACTTGTAAAACATTAGTAGAAATAGAGATTTTAGGCGCAATAGAAAGGAATGCTGTAACCGGGGTTGTTCAGGGGAGAGAGGTTGTACTTATAAATATAAAACGTCGAGTTATCCAAGATTCTAGCCAGCTCGGAGACAGGATCAATCGTGAAGACTGACGAGGTTTTACTTCTTCAGTTGAATATCTGGATAGTGATAAGTATTTGTACCCCTCTCGTACTTCTCATAGGGAGCTTGTTCTGTGAAAGCACGTTCGGTGTGGGCAGGTTCCCAAAAAATTGAATATTTATAGGCCTGCTGTATATATAGAAGCTCATAAAACATTAGCAGAAATAGAGATTTTAGGCGCAATAGAAAGGAATGCTGTAATCGGGGGTCGTCTAGGGTAGAGAGGTTGTATGTATAGATATGAAACGTCGAGTTATCCAAGACTGTCGCTACCTCTGACCCAGGATAAATCGTGAAGATGTTTTTCTTCTTCATTTGAAGATTCCCATAGGGAGCTTCTTTTGTGAAAGCGCGTTCGATAAGGGCAGGTTCACACATGTAAATTTGAATTGATTGATCAGGGAAAGCTGGTTCTGTGGCATTAGAAGCTAAGTATCCGGAAAGAAGGAGGAATGAGGATATGGAGAAAGAAGCAATGGTGATCCATACGCAACTTAGTAACGAGTACTGGAAATGTTTCTCTGATATGCTTCCTTTACCCATAGTTCAACCGATCGGAAGCTCCTTCTCTGTCCTTTCTTCCCCCTATTCTCTCAAGCCTATCTCACTATATGATTGTTAGCTCCGGACACCAAACGAGGATTGGATATGATTGGCGGGTCAGTTAATGTCCTGCTTGGCTTTCTATTTTCATGCCAAACTAACATACGCGGGGAAAATCAGTCTTTCAAGTTCCTCGTCCTGCTTCCGACAGCAGGATTGGATATGATTGGTGAGACTCGTTGTTGATGTCCGCCTGCACCAAGGGCCCGCCTTTTCAAATCCTCCCTTCTTGTTGAATCTGGTAGGAATGGCATGCAGATTGATGATACCCTAAAAAGACAATGGGGATTTCGGTCACGGACTGGAAAAGTACGAAATCCTCTTTAGCTTCAGTGCCGGAAATTGACTGGGGGGGGGGCGGATCCAGTTTCCGGCTCTCTTGACCAGGCCGACGTATTTCGGGGAGGCAGAGGGGCACTCCTAATTCCTAAACCAGAGGAATGACATGGATGACTTTATGATTCAATCTTAAATTCCTCATCACGATCACAGATATATACTGACGTTTCCACAATCGGCTTTGTTTGTTGATTCTTTGCCATCGGTTCATCCCCAATACTCTAAAACTGCTTTGCTTTTGTTCGTCCGTTACATTAGAGCAGCGAGTCTTATATTATTAAACCCTAAATGTCTCTTTTATTTGATACAAAAACGTTTTATATAATATGATATAATTATTATATTAACCATGTTGCCAAAGCTCGACCAGTCACCTGAAAGATCCTCTCTGTTTGACAGAAGGGTCTCTGCTGCTTTGATTACTTAAATCATTCAACAAAATAATTATGAATCCAGATTTACAATAATGCATATGCCACACGTGTGGAATCTTTGGAACAAGAATAAAAAAAATAAGGATAAAAGAAAAAGACAGCTACGACAACGAGAGAGATTGGTAACGGAACTTTTTCATAAGAGTGAAGAGAGAAGAAATTAGTTAAAAATTAAAAAGTAGGGGTGTCGATCGGGTCAGTCCGTATCCGCACTCGGTCCGGAGGTTTCGGGTTCGGGTTCGGGCCGGTTCGATTTTTTCGGGTCTATATAATTAAGTCCGAAATCCGACCATATGCATTTCGGGTTCGGTCAGGTCGGGTTAGATCTGGCTGGTACGCGGGCTTCCCTTTGTAAATGTTATTTTTTTTTTAAAAAAATTCGGATTTTTGGGCCGGCCCGATTCAAACCCGAAGCCCGATTTGAGCCCGACCCGAAAGCCTGATTTTTTTCGGACAAAAAAACTTCGGTCTGAAGTCCGCTATTTTTCGGACTGGGCCGGGCCAGACCTCGGGCCTCGGACCCAAATTGACACGATTAAAGTTGTTATATTATATATATAATTATTAATTACATTTTTCTATGCTGTTAAAATAATTTATTGGCTGTCGAAAACATTGAGGGTGAAAATTTTGAATTTTAGTTTGGATTATGTTATTTATAAGATTCATTTTTCGTAAAACTTTTAAACACTAGGAACGAAGTTTCGTTTAACCTTCAAATACACTATCTCGTAAATATTTTAAACATTGGGAATAAATTGATAATCCAATATCGAAATTATCACTGTCGAATACCTAATTTGCCCCTAACATCTAAAACTCGGACAACAAACAATGAGCATAACTTTTAGAAAGGGTTACATAATCACATTAGCTACGACATTGATTAAAAAATCTGGCATGAAGGGTAATTTTGAATTTGAAAATAAAGAATAAAAAAAATCTAAGAAAAAACCAAATCTTAAGTTAACGGATGATGATGCCAACTAAATGTGTACGTGCTCCACTTCGGTGCCAGCTCATCATATACTTTGCATACAGAGAGAAAAAGATCACCTCTGTGAAGGTGCACTGTAGTTCCAATGGACCCCCACTTGTTTATTATTTGCATCATGCCAAAGATGCGTTACTCTCTCCATCGTATATCATAATACTTTATATTATACAATTCTGTTGTTTTATCTACAGAAATAATTTTTTTAGGAAAATTTCTCTTAATCTTTTTGTGAAAAATATTTTTCTTGAATATGGATATTTTTTTTTACATATGAGGGAAAAGTTGATTCGATGTCTACAAAATCTATTTTTTTTATGAAAATGTGAATCATATTATATATAATAATTTACAAAATAGTAATCGTCCATAAATCTGCAGAACCCATGACAAGTGGTATACAAAAAGCTCTTATAAAGGGAATAACATACAAAAATTGATCTATAAAATGTTAGGAGAATCTCTCGAGATAATACCAATCTTGTAGAGGCGATGATACAGAACTTCTACAAAATCTATTTGATTTAGTAACTAAATAATATATAAACTAGTAAATCTATAAGAATTTATTCTTAACATTTTAATCTGCAAACGTTGTTTTTTTTTTTACCATTTTCTCAAAACATCACATATTTTACAATACTAATAGAAAATGGAACACATTGGGGATTTATTTACCATAGATTTCTATATATCCAAAAATCCAATCCAATTAAAACAATTTGGTCAAATTCTACTGATGTCGTTGGGCATAGAACTCAAGGCGTATACGCAAGTACCTAATACTTGTATTAGTACAATTATAAAATACTTTTTTTTACTAATTGCACCTCTACATGTTTCAACCAAAAAAAAAAATCCAAATATCAATCCGTAAGTAAAGCTTAGTAAATGGAAATAAATCTTGGGAAACAAACATGTTGTAGGCCAGCAGGAAACAACAAATGAGAACAAAAAGCAAAACGTATAAAGTGGTAGTTTTTAGAAATAAATGTTATGATTTGGATACATAAACAAATTGAATAAGATCATAGCCAATTAGATTTAATTTTTTTAACCAAAACAATAAAAAAATAAATATTGTTACAAAAAAAAGCTAATATCAACAGAATTTGTTGTAACATGAAATAAAATAAAAACAAAAAACAGATGTAAAAAATTCAGATTTAAGAATAAGAAAAAAAATTCCAACACAAGAGTAGTTGTACTACTAGTATCTATCTCTCTTTTATGATGTCATGAATGAAACTAAAAAAATATAAGAAAAAAGGAAAACAAAAATTGTAGAGAAAATCCTTTGACCCCACAAAATCAGTATCCCTTCCAATGCCCTCCATCCCCAGCTGTCTTCCAGCCTGTTTGCCTTCTCTCCTTCTGTGGGCTCTCTCCATTTTTATAACTTCTCCATTTCTCAAAGCTCTGCAGGCTCTCTCCAATTCTCTCTGTGCAAAACCCTAAACCACTGTTCTGCTGAGCCCACTGAGGAGAAAAGTTCAAGCCCCAATGGATCCGTGCTCTTTCGTGCGGATCGTCGTCGGCAATTTGGCCGTTAGGTTTCCGGGTTCGTCGTCTTCCCCTTCCTATGACCCTTCTATTTCAGGAATCAATCCTTCTCCAGAATCATCTCCGAGCTGCTACTGCAAAATCAAGTTTAAGAACTTCCCTCGTCAGATCGTCACCGTTCCCGTTTTGCACCGACCCGAACCCGAATCCGAGACCCGGAGCCCCGGGAATGCATCCTCCGTTGCCGCTTGCTTCAGTCTGAGCAAGACCCAGATCGAGGCTTACGATAAGAAGCCCAAGTGGAGTGTCCTCTCCGTGGAGGCTTATTCCCGCGACGGCGGTGACGGTGATGGAGCTCCGGCGTGTGGACTCGCTGCCGCGGGTGGGAAGCTTCTTGGTCGGTTCAAGGTTTCGCTTGATCTGAAGGCGGCGGAGACAAGGGCGTGTCTGGCGCACAAAGGATGGGTTGCTTTGGGTTCCAGGAAATTGGCGATGAAGAAGAACAAATACAGCTCAGATCCGGAGCTCCATGCCATTGTTCGGGTCGAACGCGACCCGAGATTCGTGTTCCAGTTCGACGGCGAGCCCGAGTGCAGTCCACAAGTTTTCCAGGTCCAGGGAAACACGAAACAGGCCGTCTTTTCCTGCAAGTTCGGATTTAGAAACTCCGCTGATCGGAATCAAATGTCGAGGTTAGTATTCGTCTTCTGCTCTCTAACTCATGAGAAAAACAGAGCTTTGCTTCTAATTTGGGTTTTGGGGATTAGGGTTTACTGGTTTGATTTTCCATTGATGGCTATTTCTAGATTTGGCGGTCCAAACATCGGTTTTTGTGGAATTCGGCAGCTTTTCAAAGATTCCAGATCTTTTTGGGTTTCGGGATCAGGGTTTTGTGACCGATTTTGCACAATCCGAATTTCAATGATCCCTAACGATGTTCTCTGTCAAAATCTGCAGTTTATCGATGTCGGAGCCAAGCACTTCAAGAACCTGGTTGTCGACGATAAAAACAGAGGAGCAGCAACCGAAAGAGAGAAAAGGATGGTCGATAACAATTCATGATCTCTCTGGTTCACCAGTCGCTATGGCCTCTATGGTCACGCCCTTCGTCCCATCCCCCGGGTCGAACCGCGTGACCCGGTCGAGCCCGGGGGCGTGGCTCATCCTCCGCCCCGATGGCTTCACCTGGAATCCTTGGGCCCGTCTCGAGGCGTGGCGCGAGCCCGGCTTTTCCGACGCCCTCGGTTACCGCCTCGAGCTCTACCAAGACTGCGTGGCCACCGCCGTCTCCGCCTCCTCCTCCATCAGCATGAAAAAAGGCGGTAAATTCGTGATCGACGTAACTAACAAATGCGGGAGCTTGGTCTCGACCCCGTCGTCGAGCCCCCATGGGAGCTGGGACCTGGGGTCAGGGTCGAGTTCGGGGTCACGACCCGGGTCAGGATCCGAATCGGATTTTCTGTTCGTCCTGCCGCAGCGGCACAAAGGGTTCGTGATGTCGGCAACGGTGGGAGGTGTGGGGAAGAATAGCAAACCGGTGGTCGAAGTCGGTGTCGGTCACGTGACTTGTACGGAGGATGCGGCGGCGCACGTGGCACTTGCCGCGGCGATGGATCTCAGCATGGACGCGTGTAGGATTTTCTCTCACAAGCTGAGGAAGGAGCTGAGACAGCAAAGCCAAGTTGGTGTCGTTTGACGTGTATCGTGTTGTCGTTTTGGTTGCTGTGATGAGTTGTCTTCCACTCTTCACTGCGTTTTTCCTTTATAAAAAGTAAAATTGAATTTTATTTTAGGTAGCTTTAGAAATTGGGAAACTAGAAAGAAGAAAAAACGAATTTTAGAGCTGGATGTCATTATGGCTTTGATATTTTTTTTGTTTAATATTCTTTTGTACAGCTAAGAAATGGTAGAATCGCAGATTATTTCATTATTATTGTATGATAATGTCAGTGAAGGATATTGAATATTTCGAGATTTTTTATTTTAAAGAATATTATATTGATTTGATTTTATGTTAGTTATTTTATGTTGATTTTGTAGGCAAAATTTATTTGATTCTATTTATAATGTATGCTTAATTTATTTTATAAATAATGTACTTATTATTATATTTTTATTATTTGATATAATTCAGCTTTTAAACTTTATTTCTTTCTATTTTTTTTATAAATTTGAAATAAAAATTAAATTTCATAAAAAGATGTCCATACATTTTTCCCATGAATAATGAGGGGTGGAGAAGGTTTAGGTTTAGTTTTGTATATTCAATACGTTCAAAACCAATGATTTCAAACCTATTTAATGTATATCTTAAATTCGATTCCATTACAATTATATATTATTCATTTAAACAACAATAGAATATTTTACGACTCATTTAGGAGTCAGTCCAATATTAAACCACATTCGGACGACCACACGGAATCCACGTCAGCATTCGCGCCCGACAATAAAAATTCGTCAGTAGGGTCTCCGTCCGATGTAGTTCCCGGGGGGGTCATAGTTGCATGTAATGAAGGTTCCTCCACCGTTACATTCAACCTTTGCGCAACCGATCCGTACGCTATCTCTCCACACCACTTGCGTGTAATGCAAGCAAGTCCCGCCGTCCGGAGCCTGACACGTGTTGCTCTCGTATTCGTAGTACCTCTTCTCGTCGATCCACATGGCGGCTGCCTTTGTATCATTTCAAGCATAAATAAAAATTGGTAAAGCCAATTTAAGGGCGCAGTCGCCGGCCCTACGAGCCGCGTAGCCTCTGGCGTAGGCCGCGACCTCCTCGTCCCAGGCCACGGGCTCGACCCCGACCTCGTGCCGTGCCGCGTTGTGGGCATCCAAGAACTCTTGTCGTGGATCTTTGTCGGGATTCGAAGGGTTAATGTGGGCGTCGTGTGAGAAATCTATTGAGAAATCCTGGGCGGAGGAAGGACTGATCAATGTGACACATAGTGTGATTAGTAAGAGAATTGCATTGTTGGTTTTGTGTGGAGACATGGTGATTTTTTTAAGAGAGGATAATTCATATTGCGGATTAGGGTTTTTAATTGATTTGGATTGCAACAAATTGTTAAAACAAAATAAAAAGTTCCGTTGGTGAATTCTATTTTTTGTATTATTTTGTTATGCTATTTTAGGATATTGAGCTTTTGACGTACATCTTGATGGAGGATCATGTAAAAAGATAAATGGATGCTAGTATTTAGAGTGATTAAAGTGGTTAATAACTAAATAATTGAATTGAATTCATCCGGATCAAATAACGTATAACCGTAATAATCGTATCGAATTAAAATAGAAAAATCGAGTAGTTATGATTTTTCTAAAATTTAATCAAATTAAATAAAAGATAACCGAAAAAATAAAAAAATTATTAGAAAAACGAGTATTTTACTAATAAAAAAATTAAAACCAATTAAAATAAAATTAGACCGAATTAAACCGAATTTAATAAAAAAATCGAATCTGAATCTTAATCGAAATCGAAATGGCCGTTTCCGTTCTCTTAATTCGCGTTTATTTACAAGAGACTAATTGGATGATATAATCCAATTATTATAAAAAATAATGATATAAAAAATTGGTATTAAACGGGTTAACTAGATTTTATAATTAATCAAATTTAAAAATCTTGTGTTGAATTGGGTTGGATTACCATCTCGAAACGGGTTACCGACGAAGATAACGGTAACGGTAATCGCTGACTTCGCCATTCTATCAAACGATGAGACGTTGTTTCTCAACGTTCACAAAACCCCTGAATTCTCCCCAAAACCCTGAATCCTTCCTCAATCGCTGCAAATCAATTCACCATTTTTATCAAATCCATGCTCAATTAATCACAAAGGGCCAAGTTTCTGATCCCATCGTCGCCGACAAGTTCCTGAAATCTGTTTCGCCATGCTCGGTACCTTATGCCCACAAGGTGTTCGATCGAATTCTGAAACGGGATGTTTTCCTCTACAACACCATGATCAAAGCTGGGTCGGCAACGCCCGATTCTTGTCGCGACTCGCTGGTTCTGTTCCGGTCCATGGTTCAGGTTCCGGGTCTTTCCCCGAATCGTTACACGTTTGTGTTCTGTTTCAAGGCGTGTGGGAACGGATTGAGTGTTTGCGACGGAGAGCAGGTTCGTGTTCACGCCATAAAAGCTGGTCTTGAGAGCAATCTGTTTGTCTCGAATGCGTTGATCGGGATGTACTCGGCTTTGGGATTGGTTAGCGAGGCGAAAAAGGTGTTCGACTGTGCAGATTTGAAGGATATCTATACTTGGAACATTATGATTGGTGGGTTTGTCGGAAGTGAGTTGATGGATCAGGCCAAGGAACTCTTTGATGAAATGCCTGAACGTGATGTTGTCTCGTGGAGTTCGCTGATAGCTGGCTACGTGCAGGTGAAGCTTATTCTCTATCACTATTTATGCGTTCCCTAAACAATTTTGTTTGGTGCCATTAATTCGGCATTCTGATGATAAAATTGAAAATGGCAGTGTTTTAAGTTCATCTTCTTCTAGTATTTCTAGGGTTAATGCTAGAATTCCAACTCTGTTTCAGAATCCGCAACATGATGTTACCAGATTATGGTTGATAATGTCATATAGAAGTTTTCATGGTAATGATATATAATACAGTCTAGCCGAGCTGGCGTGTTTTTGGAAAAGTGTCTGTTCTTGAATTCATGTTCAGATAGCTTGGTAAATTTCCATGCAAAATAGTGAATTTAGAAGGCGTTTCACCTATCCGGGTAAGTTTCGAAAGAGTTCTGAACTCACTCAAAGCTTCATGTTTTCCGGTAGGTAAGCTGTTTTGCAGAGGCATTGGATACATTTCATGAGATGTTGCAAATGGGTTTTCCTCCAAATGAGTTCACTCTCACAAGTGCTCTGACAGCATGTGCCAATTTGGTGGCATTGGATCAAGGAAGGTGGATCCATGTGTATATCGATAAGAGCAATATCGGCATCAACAACGATAGATTGCTTTCTAGCCTTATCGACATGTATGCAAAGTGCGGGGAGATAGAATTGGCCACTGAAGTTTTCAACAGTAGAAACGCTCTGAAAAGACATGTCTGGCCTTGGAACGCAATGATTGGTGGGTTTGCTATGCATGGGAAACCACAGGACGCCATTAACACTTTCGAGCAAATGAAGATTAAAAAGGTTCCTCCTAACAAAGTCACATTTGTTGCACTGCTTAATGCTTGTAGCCACGGTTACATGGTTGAGGAAGGAAGATATTATTTCAAGTCGATGTTAGATATCCACGGTCTTGAACCAGAGATGGAACACTACGGTTGTATGGTAGATCTACTCGGGCGGGCTGGACTGTTGAAGGAAGCAGAAGAGACGATATCAAGCATGCCAATGCCACCAGATGCTGCCGTATGGGGATCACTGCTCCGAGCGTGTAAATTACATAAAGACATTCAAAGGGCTGAAAGAATTGGGAGCACCATCAAAGAATTGGAACCATCCCATACCGGCTGCAAGGTCTTGTTGGCAAACATGTACTCTTCATACGGAAGATGGAATGAAGTGAACGCCCTGAGAGAGATCATTGGAAAGAGTAGGAAAAAGAAAACTCCGGGTTGCAGCTCTATCGAGTTGAATGGGGCGTTCCATGAATTTCTTTCAGGCGACCAGTCTCATCCGGAAACCAAACGGTTATATCTGTTCTTGGATGCGATGGCTTCGAAGCTTAAACTGGCCGGGTATGTCCCAGAAGTAGGCGAAGTGCTACATGATGTTGACGAAGAAGAAGAGAAAGAGACAGCTCTGTCAAGACATAGCGAGAAACTAGCCATTGCTTTTGGGTTGATGAACACAGAACCGGGAACTATAATCCGTATAGTGAAGAACTTGAGAGTATGCTTGGACTGCCACGAGGCGACAAAGTTCATTTCAAAGGTTTATGAAAGAGAGATAGTAGTCAGAGACCGGATCAGGTTCCACCATTTTAAGGATGGCTCCTGTTCTTGCAAAGATTACTGGTGAAACCATGGAGGGAAATTGTCATATGGGTCTCCGATTTCTTGGCCATTATCTGCTATTGCTTTTACCTGGAAGAAGCTAATCACATGCATCCAGAAGCAATCTAACAAGGCGGAGGGTGAGAGTTTGCAGTCATGATCCATCACTGAGACTCAATATATGAACTCAGATCTTCAACTAGGCGAAAGTTGGAGATTCGGAATACGCATTAGTCGTTCCGCGTTAGAGGCATGATTCGTCCTCGCCTGAAGTAAGTGTGAAAAATCGTCGAAAAATTCTTTTCGGTGATTAAAAACAACAACTCTCATTAGCCTTGATGCTGGGTGAGAGCTTTACGGGGATGACGGGAAAGCATCTCTTGAATAACAGAGGAAAAGCCAAAACAACAAGGAACAGAGTATGGATCAAATGTTTTTTGCACTAGGCGTTTTGGTAATTTTGTTTCATGAACAAAACTTGTGCTGTTTCTTGGCTTAGTTATGGTAGGAAGTAGGAACATGTTTATGAATAAAGTTAGATATGTTGTAATTTGATTATGGGAGCTCATTGGTTTGGTAAATTTGATGTAATTTTTGGGTTTTAAATTTATTTAAAAGGGAGGGTACTTTCTACTTTGGGCTTTTTAACAAAACGCTACAAGTGGCTGCCAAAACGCAGGTAAAAAAACTGCGATCAGATTTCTCATATTTTATTTCAATTGCTGACCATTTCAATTTAATCAATTAGTTTTTCCATAACCGACAGAAATTGCAAACTTGTCTCTACAGGAAAGCATAAAAACCCATGCCTTAAATTGACGAAATTATATCTTGAAAACTTTGTAATTAAAATTGATAAATAACTTTTATCAAACAATAATTAAAAAAATATTATTAGTTATAATAACATATCAACCAATCATATATTTCGCATATCGCAAACGCGACTATACAACCGTTCGAATCCTAACTGATTGCTAATGATTAGTCCATTTCACGCCATTGTTCAAAGTACGCCGCTTTGCTATTCATGCGTGCATTATTATAATGTTCATGAAGTCTTGAGTTTACTAAAGAGCGGCTGCTTATCCTAGACAAGACCTTACACAGCCTTACAAGACAGAAAGAGACACTGCAGCAAAGAGACAGGACAACAGATTCAGAACTTGAGATGATCTTTAACCGTTGCAGCCATCGATCTCAACCATCCATCCTCTTGTGTCTTCAAGGCGACCCGTCTGAATGCCCGTTAACATCTCATACAGTTTTGTGGACAACGCTTCCGATCCCGTTTTGTATTCGATCCTGCAATCAGATCAAACAAATGGAAGAATCGGTTTCTAATGCAACCATAAGGAAGAAATATGTTACGATTTTGGCTTTCGGGGGAACTTTTTTTTTTTTACTTCTTGTCCATGAAGGTTATGGTTTCGACAGCTCTAACAACTACTGCAGTGCCCGTGCAGAAAACCTCGTCCGCATCAAGAAGCTCCTCCACGGGAACAACGCGTTCTTCAGCCTGCAAAGATTGGAGGAATATATTATGACCGCTTCATGGCTTGAAATGTGAGTTAGAAGATAACGAAAGAGTAAAAAGAAAAGGATAACCCGGAAGCCAATATCACGAGCTAAGTCGATAATGCTTTTCCGGGTGATTCCAGGTAAAATGGTTCCTGAAGTGGCTGGAGTAGACACAGCATTTCCCTATAGAATGATACCAATGGAAAAAAGATAACCTTTTGTAAGGAAGAGAACAAACTATCATTGTGTTGTGTTTATGCTATAATATGTAGAATTCCTATCATGATACAAGATTACCTTAACAACGAAAATGTTGCACGCAGAAACCTCTTCAATGTTTCTACCGGTTGCTGCGTCCAGGAATAAGACGTCAGAGAAGCCCGATGACTTAGCTTCAAGCAACGGTTTCACGATCTTCAATAGGAACCAAAAAAGAAAATCGAATGAGATATTGCATAATCTCAAAGGGAATATAACTGGTGATCGAATACAAATAATGTGAAACAACAGATCAATTCTGATGTCTTTACTTACCGGAGAGTAATTTGTGCAGCTCTTCACACCACCTGTTCCACCAGAATGAGCTCGATGATTCTTATGATCAACTTTGAGGTTCAAGCCCGAAGTCCCCTATCAGATATAAAAAATGGTAATAACAATCAATCACCGAAATATATTTGTAAATTCCTGTTGAATACTTTTTTTTTTTTTTAACTCTTCTCAAAATAAGGTTGTGAACTTGAGCCATGCCTGACCAGAGTTGCAATTTTCACTTTGCAGACCCACAAACAGTAGATACTAATCATCATATCTGATGTGCAAAATCTCAAGGAGTCTTGAGCAAAATTTCCTAATCAAAGTATTTTAACAATAATAAACTCACCTTATGGTAGCTTCCGACGGGAGATGCATATACACATAGCGTAAATTCAGGTGCCGGTCCAATGCCGAGGGCAGGACCACTCCCAATCAGAAGAGGCCTAAGATACAAGGTCCCTTTACCCGGAGGGGGTACCTAAATCAGAAAATGTTTTACTCCAATCCTAAATATGCACAAATTAACCGAAATGTCAAAACTTGTACAAAATTCTTGATCCATACCCATCTCTTGTTGGCAAGCGCAGTTTGCTTAACAGCGCTGATGAACTGCTCCAGGGAGGGATACGCCATACAGAGTCTCTCGGCACCCATTTTCATACGGAGAGCATTTTGGTCAGGTCGGAAGAGTCGACAGTT